TAAAAGTTTTAGTTATTTATATCTCTTAATTATTAAAAGAGTTTTAAATATATCTTTATTCAAATTTTCTGTACAATGAGTAGTAATCAAAATCATCAACCTACTTACCTTATTTTTGGCGAAGTACCAGGTATCTATTTTTTTCTGTCTTACGCACGAAATTTATCTTGTACTAGTAATTAACTAACGCGCTACTAGTTCCTCGAGTGATTGTATCAATGTATTAACTAACACGTTGAAATATTGTTAAAAAACAAAATATTACATGGCAAAATATTTTTTAAAGCAGATTATAGTTGCTCTCGCTAAACGATCGTAGTAGCTCTTATCAGAAAAAGTGTAATGCTCGTGTTCGATAATTTATCGATTTTGGTCCTTGAGTTCAATTAAAAAGTAATCTGATCAAATGGAAGACTAACAACTACCAAAGAGTATTTTTTGACATAATCAACAATTGCAATTCTGCAACCGAAAACTCCAGTAACGTAGTTTCATTGACAAACAAAACAAATTGAAAGCCTTGTAACAATCTGCTTATTCACATCGAAACGCCATTTTACTTTACCGATAAGAAAACACGCACGCATTTCGAGGTATCGTCACGTAAATAAAGTTGCTTATCGGCATTTAAAATCTTCATGGCTGTGTGTGTATGCGTATTGTACGTGCACGCGCGTGCATGTGTAAGGTGCTCGACACAATAAAAAAATTTATCACCATCAATTTTAGTTGATCTACGCGTGCCGACGGGTATAACCGACAATGATACTTGTATGTGGCTTGGTTTTTATGCTTACAAGTTGATAACCATGATAAGTCTTATGCAAATAATAAAATCCATTGTCATGTCCTTATCATCCTTTTCTGAACATCACTTGGGAGTCTCGTGCAGTACTTATTTGTTTTTCTCACCTGCTTGAAACGTGCAAAATGATAAAAGAGCTGCTAGTTATTTGCCGTATCATTGTTAGCTTTTCTAATTTTTCAATCGTCTTGGCTTCACTTTTATCTTTTTGCGCCTGAACATTTTTCTACATTGATTTTGTTAACTTATATCTGTAGTGAAAAATATTTACATTTAAGGTTATTTAGAGGAAACGTTTCTTCAGTTAAAAATTTATCTTCTGGTGTGTTATCAGTACGCGCAATTATCAATAAAAATTTTCAATTGCGTTTCTTTTTGTCAAAGAAATGAGCTTCAGTATTGCTTAATACGATGTAATTATTTATTTAAATGAGTATCGCACGTCTTTACAAAATTATCTATATTCTAAAACAAAAAATGTATTGCGTGTAAAATATTTAACTACCTGTAGATTTCTGAAATATATTGTAAAAAAATAGTTTTTATCTTGCTTTTTCTCATTGCATCTTAATGTCAAATAAGTTAAAATAATAAATCTTAGCCCTGGATATGCCTGAACTCGAATAATATCATTAACTCATTTATTTTTGTCTGGTTGTAACTGCTGTAAAAAAATACTCGGATATTTTCAACTGTCACTCTTCTCTATTCTATTCTTGTTCTTTAAAACACGTGAAACTTGTCATGCTCACGATGATCTCAATATCGCATCATCATATTGTAAGACATTTCGGTGGAAATATTCTATGACTAGCCAATATTAAAACGCATCTTATTTGTTCAACTTTATCAAGAATTTACAGAAATCCTCACGATACGAGACAAGATATAACAACACAAATTCATTTCCAGTCATATGAAAATTTAAACAAGGCAAATGCGTGACAAGTTTTTGTTCATAATACCGTCATTTTGCATCAAATCAGTTGAAAGCTTTTGTGAATCGCTATGGAAATAATATCCATGTCATCTTCGTTTTTTCTTTCTTTTTCAAATTTCAAGACAACATTGGTAGTCGAGCCCCTGGCAAAAAATTTACTCACGGTAAATACACACATTAGGCATTCATGCTTGAACGACCTTGTAAGTACATCATCCTAGAGAATCATACTGTACTTGGTTGGCACTCAGCGTACGTGACGTTTCAAAATTACAATTAATTTTGCTCTCACGATACGTGCGCTTAATGTGTTACTTGCGCTTTGTCGCACAATGTGTTTGCTCACGCTGCGTCTTGCTGTCGCATATTCTGGCAATATTATGCCTTAAGCGTTTATCAGCGATTTACAGATGATTATTTACAACTCCTCACGCTACGGGATTAATCGGAAGAATTGAAATTTCTTGAGAATTCAAGTCGTTTATTGACGAATTCGGAATTATCCTAATCTTACTTTGATGGTTTCACTGTTTGTTTCATTGAAAGAATTTCTCAATTAATAAAACTTTCACATCCCATTACAATTAGTTTTATTAAAATCTTGGAGTATAATACTAAGTAAGTAAGAAATACAATTTTCATACAAAGAAGTAGTATTAATAGACCATAAGTGTTTTAATTTCATTATACAATTTATAAAAAGAAGTTTGCGTGCCGAGCAAATTGCAAATTACGCGTCTTGATATCAAACATTTTCATAACCCTTTTATTGCGACAACAAAGTAGAAAAACAATGATTGTTTTCCCAAAGGCATGTCACCTACGCGCGGCTGCGATTGCGCCGTAGGCGCGACGACGACACGTCGTCATAAGCCATTATTGAAAATGTCGTAATTGTCGTTGCTTTTTTCATCATTTGCATTTCTTAACGATACTGATAATACAGCTGTCTCTTTCACGAGACAACGGTACGAGCGAAAGTCTGATCGAGCTTCGTTGTGTCGACTTTTGATAAAACCCATAGATAATGCGGCAGCAGGAAAAATAAAATTTTGCCAATCCAATTTCCAAATAACGTTTGCTCAATGATAAGCATTTTGCACACGAAGCCAAACGGCTGGAAGTTAAAGAAAAATTTTAATGACTTAACATTTTTTCATTTGACTTAAAAAGTGGACATTTTCAATCATATCAAAAGGAAAAGAAAAAATGAAAAAAGAAGGCTGATAGTCCGTAATAAATCTTGATGAATTGTACCTCTAAATCGAATTAAAGTAGATCAAGGTTTAGTGCTTCTTAACGAAATCCGGTGCTCACTTGTACCTCAGTGGCACATAAGATGTATCAATGAAAACAGCAATTCAACTTGTGAGTGCAGATTGAACCAGTTGCAAGCTACCAATTTCTTCATCGTTAAGATGCATAAGGAATTCCACGCCGTGTCTCGCGGATATAATTGAGTCAATATCACGTTTTTTTCCGCATTCTCTCTTAAAAACTATCTTGGAAATTTTAGATTTCTCGGTATCCATTTAATCTATCGTCAGTAATCTAGATTTCTTCTTCTCTTTATTAATATATGCGTTTATTATAATATTAATAAGTACAAGACCGAATGTTTGCGTTCACTGCGTAATAAAAGTCAATCAACTTGCAGACTTATGCGTCATTTTAATCAAACTTAATAAACCGTCATCTTTTTTTTGTTCACGATTCCACGTGGACGCGCGTGAGCGATGTGGGCACGCTGCAATCACCAGTAAATATAAACTTGAGCTGCATCCTTTCGTTGCGCGATGTTCATTATGTCCTAATTAGCGCTTCAGATTAACTACGTCGATAAAAATAACAAACGGTATACGTATAGCACAACACTAGTAAAGGAGATTCTACGGATACAAAGGTGTGGCATACATTGCATTCGTTCGCCCTCTGACCCACTTGTTAGCCTAGCCCGTTGTCTGATATATTGAATGGGAGGGGGGGGGGGGTGGATAGTGTTCCTAATCCGATCAAAATTAGCATTCGAAATCACAGCTCTTTCCTCTCTTAAAAACAGAAGGAAAGATATTCAGGTCATGTTTATAGAACCTAATTGATTACAGTTCATCGTTCGCTTGCTCACTCACACTCTGCTGATACTGCCTGCGAACGAATAATAAAGAGTAACTGAACTTTGGTGCATGTAAAACTTGCACATGCACCGCAGAGGGACGGGATAAAAAACGGGCTTCGCGCAATCAAACGATTTCTTTTATGTCTGCGGAAAATATTTTTTCTACTTTAATTTCGCTAAGTGGAAGTGTAATTTCTAGTAGAAATTTTTCACAGTTCAATTCTTTTTCCTATTTATATATTCGTATGGAAAAGGGCAAATCAATGTGATCGATATATGAAATTACATTAGGTGTTGTGTGCAAATACTTGTGTGAAAAAAAATTTTCATCGCTAAAATATCGCGAGATGCATTGCGCTAATGAACTCGAGCGACAATGTTACAGCTTATCGGGTGATCGTACGATTTTACGGGATCAATGAATCACTGTACAGTTATAATAAGGCAATTTTGCATTTTATTCCATGTATTATCGCGACTTCTTCATGTCAACTAGCGGTCATTATGCACATTAGATATTATCGTATGCACGACGTTAATTATCACTGCTTTTTCCATTTTTATGAGTGGGAATTCATTTTTTCTTGGAATAATTCACGATACAAGGTCTCGACTTGGCCTTGTTTGTTCATCAACGAAAAGCTTCTGTACGGATGCCTCACAATTGCTATATCGGTAATATTATGATGAAATAAAATTTGTTATTTAATTTGTTGTGCCGGAAAAGTCAAGCATTTATCAATAGTGGCAATCGCATACGCACCATCGGATATTTGTTGAAATAACTGGAAATTATTTATTACTCTTGCAGTCTTTTTATTTTATTAATAACTTATTTTTTATCGTCTGCCATATCAAAAACGGCCTTGTTTTTAAAACAAGTAAAGTCGCAAAAAAAAAGAAACATCCGTTACTTTCCATTATTTTGCTATCAAATATTTATTTATTTTGTTCGAAAGTGAAATAATACGTATTTTCCTACCGAATAGTTCATGAAACTGTTTTAAGATTGATATATTCATTTCAACGAATCAAGAAAGAATTATTAAAAATTGATTGTCTTTATTGTTTTAGTACAATAGAAAATAATGTGCATTTTGAATAAGCTATGATTAACGCAGTGACCTCTAATGTTGTAGCAATGACGATAGAGGAATCAAGGCGGTCTCAACGGCCATACAGATATGGTATGGTATTGCTGTGTGTCGGAGCCTTGATCAACTGGTTGGGCCTTGCCGAGAACTACGTGGAACCGGTGCGATACGTCGGAGTCGCGTGCATCGTAGCTGGTGCATTGCTCATCTGCGCGGCAATGTGCTGCTGGCTACACGCACCACCAACCAGGACGAGCTCGCATACTCACCGTTCTGCCAATCCCGTCACTGCTCAGGTTAGTTTTTCTCTGTATCTGCAGTCTTATTTTTCCGTCCCGTGAACTATCACATTTGCATGGAATGATGGTCAATGATCAAGGATTTAATTGCATAAATTTAGGCGTGGTCTTTCCTCAGCGGCTTTGTTTTTATTCTAACTATTGTTAGAGAAGCTTCAATTCTTTTCGAGATAGACAATCTAGATTACATTTTATAGCGATTCTTCAAATTATAGAACTCAACATTTATAGGTTAACGTAAAATTAAATGTTACTTAAAATGAAATTTTTCTAGATAACATTTAATAAGTGCGTTGCTCTAGAATACAGGTATTTCTGGAACGCGATGAGTCTAATTGATAAAGACAGTAAATCAAGATAAAAATAACTGAAATATAAACTGCAATAATATATTGTTTGCGCGCATTCATTGATAAGAAAGCCATTATTCCAAGTAACCTATCGTACAATAGAAAAATGTTGGGATCAAATGAGGCGACTGAGTATATTGAGAAGTAATCCCATACAATTTTTTTTTATATGTCAAGTATAAAAGTTACCTATATAACCTGTTGTTTTCCATCTAAAGAACATGATCACACGTATATATAGAAGTCAACGATCGATTTTTTTTTTCGTCTTGATTCATTTACTAATGTAAGTTGTAGTTTTAATTGATTAAAGAGTGTATTAATAAGTGAGAAAAAATTTTTAATTTCATCGGTCCATTATCAACAGTTGATTTAATGTCATCTCGAGTAAATTTCCGTAGCTAACTTATTAACATAAGAAACTCACTTCGTCCACGTAAAACGTCTCGAGTTTTTTTACAATATTTTGAGGCGCTCGACGCGATTTGGTTATCATTTTTGGGAGCACAAATACGCACGAGTTGTTTGCTTATTTAACGTGTACATAGTATTTTTTATTCTTATTTCAAGTGTCAGAGTCCAAGGTTTCCTTGCAAATACCGACAGATCCGCAAAGCGCGCTGCTGCAAAAGACGTTACTCTTTTAATTAGCCGTATCTCGAAGTAGGAAAAAAATTTTTTGTTAATACTTGTTCATGTTAAGTCTCTTATCCCTAATTTGCATGCTTTGTTTGCCAACGATGACGAACACGCTGCACAAATATCGCTTATTTTTTGTGTGTGTTGCCATTAATAAATATAACTTCTTATCAGCTTGCTTTTTTTCAATTCGAGCCCTCTTTTTATCAGTATTAATACTTTAATATACCGCATAGCAGACAAATATTTTAATTGAATAGACGTCAATTTTTGAATGACACAGCAAATATTCGAACTTTTATGCCTCATAATAGAATTTCGTAATAACCAATTCGATGCTTCGAATTGGTCTAAAGGAATCCATTTTAAAGAAAAGAAGAATACAACTGTAGTAAAAAAACATCGTATACAGCCAACGAATTCTTCACTTGTCAAGTATCAAACATATTGCGATGTTTTTTCAAACTTGCTTGCTCGCGAGTTCGCAATTTTCACTGAAATAAATCGCCGAACAGTTTACGTTACGGATCGGCCTATTTGTTTTTACTTCACGAGACTCTGGTATTGCAATAAAGTTCAGAAGAGGTTTCAACCGTCGTTGCTGTAGAATTTTATTGTTGATCCGACACTTGAATACTTTTATTAAAGAATTTTAAGGTTTTGTTCGACTCGTTTACGAGTATTTATGAATGAAAACTATCCTACTTAAATAGTAGTTGGGTAACCTATTTGTTGCAAAATTTAACACACTTTCACGATCCTACTAATTCTTTTGACTATACGTTACTTTTAGTAGCACAAAATTAGAAATAACACCGTCCTATTGAAATTTCCTAGGTTGTTAAGCCATTTATATTAATATAGGTATATAAATATTGAGATCACAGATCGATGTAACTATATATTTTTTAAATATACTCTACTACCATGGGCACGTGACCTGTAAATTATTGCCTCACGTTCGCTCTACACAGTGTACTCTATCGAGAACAAAGTTATAGTTGGAAAAAAAAACCTTCCCATCATTTGTCTTTGCATGGTGGAAACAAAGTAAATCATTATTTATTCAATTAATGTTACATTAAACGTTAAACGATTACGGGAAATTCAATTTCGCTGTTCCGAGTAGGAGATTTTATCAAAAACTACACATATAACAATAGTCGAGGCTTGAGTAGATAACTTGCGCAAAAAGTTCCAATTCCTATAGAGAAAATGAACAGCACCTGAATTTGAAAGTGGAAATACAACTGCAATGTTTTGCCACATTGGCCTACGTCAGTGTCGTTGCACAAAATAGAGTTACACAATCGCCATAAGGATATTCATCCGGAAGTATAAATCTACGCCTATATTCGTCGGGCCGCGAGTATGTATATACCTCAGCCATAGACTACCTACAGAAAAGGGCGAGTGAGGGCTAAAAATAGAACGATGCAGAAAGACCAACTTTGCAGTCTATAGCTTATCGCTATGACATCTCACTTTCGAAAACTGCAACGTATATGGAAATGAGGTTCTAGTCGTTCCGTCGTTTATTTACAGACTTCCCATCATAATATGCAAACACGAGTTTTAAGTATTCAATAGTTTATGATGGTGTGAATCATTGTTTTTTTTCTCGGTGCCAACTTTATTATGATTAGAAATTGCACCTTCAAGTCATAAAAGATGTAGATGATTTCTTTCAACAAAAATCTGTAAGATCGATAACGAGTGTGTTTAGAATAATGTATTTCTTAGCTGGACTTTGATTAAACGTACTTTTATTAACGTTTCACTCTGTTATTTTTAACCCCGCACACGTCAAAAATGAGATCGAATCTGTGTCACCTTTCCTATTGTGCTTGAACTAGTAATTTTATGACTAGGTCGATTAAGCTTTTATGAATGTAGTAGTTAAGAATTTATTGGGAATTTGATTTAGCTATCAATCATAGGGAATCTTTCATCAATGTTTCTTATAGCATGAGTTCATGTATATACTAAAATCTCATCAATAATTCTGCGAATCAGTAACAATGAAATAAATTAAATAGAATACTATTTTAAAAACTATAGTAATTTTTTATTACTATTCGAATTGCGTTCAAAAAAAAAGGTCGGTCGGTCGAAGCCTTTGTCATGTAAAAGATAAAAATTCTGTGATACAATGTCGAAGTAAACCATTATACGTGAGATCACTTGCAACTTGAATATTGAAAACCTGACCATTATATAGATTACAAGATGATGTCACTTGTAAGTGACTTTCACCCGAGGATGTATTTTTAACGAAATTTAACGAAAATGTTTACAGATCGATGACCCTATCCACGTGATCTCAATAGAGGATCCGGTGTCGGGCGCTCGCCAAAAACCACCGGATTACGAGGCAGTGGCCGACGCACCACCCAGCTACGACGACGCAATCAAATTAAACCCGGGCCAATTGGCAAGAAGTAGTCATAGTAGCATCACCGGCACTGCCACCTCACTCGAACACACGATACCCGGCGCCGTCGTCGTCATACCTACCTCAGGCGTCATCGTTGCCGAATCACATACGCCATCGCCACCACCACCCTATGCGAGGTGATAATTTTTATCATGTTTAATTTAGCTTTTTGACCAAACTTCATGAATATTAATTTAGTCAAGCCGATATGAAACTTTCATAAAATTTCTATCATGAAGGATTAATGGAATGTTATAAATGAATTGACAATTTTATGTAGACTATATTACAAATTTTTAGTATATAGTTTTGCAAAAGTTTGCAAGAATCCGTGACGTGCGGGTAATCATGCACGGTTTTATTATACACACAAACTATTGTGTATAATAATTTGGCGTGAATCAGCATGTATCAACTCTTATACTATGTTAGTGTGCACAATAAATTATACGTATAATATAAGCGTGCACAATTGTCCGCAAGCCGAATTGGTGAAGGAATAAAATTATACTCAAAATATTAATCGAAGGAATATCAGAAAAAAAACTATAACGAAAGCTCGTTCAACGACATGCTCATCAAGTTTCATTTAATTATAGCTTATTCTAAATAAATAAAAATGTGCTCTAATATAGTGCAATATCTGACTAATTTACAAATAATACTTTCGAAGTATGTGCAAAATCAGCAGAGTATTGAAAACAATGTCTGATCAGTTAGTTTAATAACCTGAAATACTTCAGAATGATATTAAAACATACCAAACAATTTTTGAATGCAGCTAATTATTAGCTAATGATTATCAACATGATAAATCACTTGAAAAGATTATTAAAACCATACTAGAAATGAATGAAGGAAAAGAAAATAATAAGAATTGGCGTTTTTCTTTTGATTATAGGTGAAGCTCCGTTACAGAAGCTTCGCGCTTCTCGCGACCAAGACTCAGGGCTATGTACTAGCCAGTGTTTACACAAAGTACAAACAAACAGGCAGCCCTTCAATAAAATAATAAAACGCATACAAATATGCTACAAAGATGATGACGATGTGGGTGCCTACAAACACAGTTACGAGGCACGCGAATTGGCTCTCATCGAGTTAGAATGAAACAAGGATGTTTTGCGATAACGAAAATAGAATGCTCAGAGCCACTGCGTAAAAGGAAGGCGTGGCACGTTTACGTAATCAAAGCAAAAAAGCAAAAGAAGAAGGTAAAAAAGAGGATGCGAGTGAAAACGTCTTTTAAATTTCTATCGGCGTATTGTACGTTTCCTCTTTCTCATATATATAAGCACGTGAAAAAAATATGCTCCGAGTATTCCGAAACAACGTCATACACGCACGGACTGAAAAGAAGAGCCAGTATTCGAGATTTCACGAATATTCGTTTCAATATCAAATAACCCATTCGACACGATTCGATATTTTGATGCTAGTTAATTGTGATATATTTTACAGTTTGAAACGAACATTCGCAAGGAGCATTTTTCTTTTTCGATGTATTTAATGAGAATTAAAGAATACCGATAAAAACATTATAATACACAACAGATAATATACGTCGAGTGCTCATCTCTAGTCAAGAGGACCGCGCAGCATGCGGTTGACACTAAAAACTCAATAATGTATACTTACCGAGATTTATACTAAAAAATGTAAATTTGCATGCACACATATCCGCGCGAGAAGGTGAAACTAAAAGACTCCCCTTCGTTAGGGCCTATCATACAAACTATTTACGAAGGACATGCACACACGGCCTGCTTGAAAGCGTAATCAAGCTCCGAACGGAATAATAATTGTTAACGCAACGATCGCGAAAGCTTCCAAAGCCAATTGCGAGGATGTCGTTTCAAAATTATCGTAAAAATGAATGAAAAAAAAAAAAAACATGAAAATAGATGCCTTCTTTCATTTTTTTGGTTAATTTTTCTGTTCGTTTTTCTCTTTCTTTCGGGACGTAATGTTAGACACTTGGTTCGCGCACGACGATGAGGATGATTACGACGACGACGACAACGACGACTATGAATAGTGATGAGGTGACACCCACGCACACGTCCATTTTATTGTGATATGTATTTTATAATGTTATACGATTTAGAAGTAAGTTGCGTAAGTTTTGCAAGATTATATCTGTAAGACTCTTTTTTAATAACAAGAGATATAAATATATTAAAGCTAAAACTTTGTACTAGCTATCTCTTACTTGTATTTCCCCTGCCAGTTGAAAGTGATATTTCCTTCTTCTACGGTATTTATCGCCATGCATTTTTTCTTCACACAAGCAAAAAGTAGCGATACGGATTGATAGCAGTCGAGCACGTCGTTTAAACATAATATGACTATGATAAGAACAAAATAAAATTACTTTTTTTTGTTACGTACGTTGGTATCCTAAGAATTTCAAGTAATTTCAATTGTTAAATCAAGAAGATTATTAAGAATGAAAATGTCTGTTGAGTGATCCTATGCAACTAGTTATTTGCAACGCGAGTCATTCTTCAATTAGAAACGACAATTTCCTGGAAAAGTAAAAATAAAAAAATTTGAAATGAGCATGAAGGCATAGAAGTGAGGAATTTTCATCGATAAATACGCTTTATTCAATCAGAGTAACATTTATACTTATGACTTAAAGCATATTGTTGAAACTTATGTCTCGTAGAACTTTATCAATTGCAACAATAGTGATAATAATTATAATAATGCTCCAATGATGAATATAATAATAATAATCAACGAAAAGAAGTGAGACCGCATAATATAACGACGTGATAATAATATAACGGACTGAATGATGATAATAATCATATCGTCACGAATTCAGTAACAGTTGGCCATCGTATTCGCGCACACACTGATAATACCTCGTTATTCGCTTTTATTCAAACCTCCGAGATACACGTACGATAACAAGGGCAGACATACTTTTATCGTCGTCACTTTATGTTCCATCTGCTCTGTCTGCGACGAAAAAGAAAAATGAGAAAATGGAGGAAATTTCTCACAACTTCATGTGCGCTGCGCGAAAAAAATTACAAAAGGATTATGCAGGAAAACGCCATACATATAGATACAAACGTGATAACTGTTTGTTTGTCTCTGTTTATCTCATACTCACGCTCACGTATACATTCCGCATTCCCGACAGGTTTTTTTTTTAATTTTCGACGGCTTTAAATCATTTAATTGTCATTCCTGTCTAGTCGCTATCAGCTAAAATTTTTATTTTTTTCGTTATTATTTTACTCAGACTACACGGTGCTGGTTAAAAGGTATATTTCCACGATGGCGCTGTTTTCACTATGTTCATTTGCTTAATAATTCGTCAGAATTGCACACTCGTGTAAATAATCTTTTGTTCGACTCTTCTTTACTCAAACTTCTCATTCATTTTCTCGCTTTATGTACATTTTACATGAACCTCGGTTAATTGCCTATGTAGCTCATTGGTACAAATTGTAAATTCACAGTCTATATATTGACGCGACCAATACATATCGCGCGCACATATAATTCTGCATGATGTTTTCCCTTTGTCGCGCACGAGATCAGAGCAATAAGGTAAGTTGTATATATACACACGCGTACATACATACGTACACACATGCGCAACAATAAACGTCAAGGACGCGAAGTATGCGTTCGTGAAAAAATCGATGAATATCAGTGCGAATCAGAATGCGCGCGACACGTGGCTCAAAAATTTAATTGTACAAACGAAAATTGTCAATCAATTTATCTATTCCTATTTGTCGTTCCTCTTTTTCCAATCACTCGCTGATAAGTATACATGCATATCGTAATTTCTCGCGTACTCCTTGCTTTTTTTATAGCGTGATATATATAAGTTCTTAAAATATACAAATAGATTAAGAACACTCGCTTTTTGACTTGGATTTCGTGTTTTTTTTTCTTTAGTATTCAAAGTTGACGTCAACCGTATACTTGTATGATGTAAAATCTAAATCAACATTAGCTATCTATAAATCTGTACAAGATATAGAGGTAATTATATGGAGCGAAACGGTGTATTGATGAAGCAAAATTGAAAAAATTGAAAATAAGATAAGATTGTCGAACCAACACTTTACTAGTAATTAATAAATAACAAATAGTTGGCCACATAAATGAAAAGTTAATATATCATTTACAAACGTAATCTACTTGTTTTTTAGTTTACTGACTAGGCGCAAATACTGTGGGCTGTTCTTTTCATTTAATACGGTCATATACAATTGATCATAAAACGTTTTTCATGAGAGGAACACGCACTGTTAATTTCGCTGTGTATTTTTATGATAAATTCACATATTTAGCTCATTCAACAACGATACAGTGAGAAATTTTCTAGATAATGTATTTTTTGTTTATTCTTTATAAAACATTAGCAGATATTATGTTGCAGTGCAGTATGAACAAATATATGAATGTTAATCAAGAATAATAATGATGGCAAGACCACCCGAGGTATTTTAACTGTGCATAACTCTATTCCTCCAAAGTATACTACATATATGTATATGCGGCATTCCTACTTGATTTTGGACAAATTTAATGAGCTATTTAAAATACCTTAGATGAACTAAACGTATAACAAAGCCGAACACCGAAAGAATTCAATTAATCGTAAGGATTCTACTCTTATAACAATAAAAAATTGGCAATGGAAAAAAGGAGAATAAAATTTTAACAATAAATAAATAATGGGCTAATGCAAATCACTGATTGGCAATCTTAGGTAGTAAATAAATTATTCGTAATACTCAATGAATAACCTATATCACGATAAATTTCAAATAGCTAGAATGCTTAATAAACTCTAAATATCACTGATACTCGGGTAAGTGACCCTTATACCGACGAAAAAATCGAGTGCAATGAAATTGACATACTTTTTTTCGGTTATTGCACTTAAGATCGTGTTTCTTTTTATATTCGATGAAGTCTCAATGATACATGCGAGACCAATGCTATGCTTCAAAACTCGTATGCGATCGTTATTATTTATATTTGTAAAATGAACAGTAGCTTTATTTGCGAAAAGGCTCGTAAGAAAATTATAAAAATACCTAGAATAGAAAAAGAGAAAAGGGAAGTGTGCTATTGAGAAATGCTATTGATATCGTTAAAAAAGTCGCGTATCGCATTAGAGTCGATTTGACATTCTTTTGCACGTCCATCGAAGGAAAACAAAGGTTAAAGAAAAACGCAAAAGAACGATTGCACCTTCATCCATTGGTCTCCCGCTTGCGCGTGCTCGTTGAAAAACTCAGATATTCGCTTCTTTTATCAGCTGCAGCATGCTCTTTTTGGTAAACTTCTCACGAATAAGACAGTCGAGAAAAGAAAGAGAAAAACTTGCGAAATTATTATGTCTAAAGAGTGCGCATCGCGTAATACTGACGAGAAGCTCGCGTTTATTCTTACAGATATAAGTAATATATATGTACACATTATAAACAGCGTCGCTCGTTACGAACGCGACACACGATTACGAACTCTCGAGGTGTCAATGGTAATTCAACAATGAACAGTCGCACTAAAAGTCTTCCTTGCATTACTCACATACACGCAGACATACACTCATGCTCGCTTTAATCGATGTTGAAATGGTTAATATGGCGAAATATCCAGTAGAGTAGTAATAATTAGGGTCGACCGTTCGTGGGTGCGCGTTGGCGGTGCGGCAGCGGCGACGGCGGTCCGGTGACAGATAAACAGTGGTAATGTGAAACGGGGTGAACGATAATAGCCATAGTTACATAATACTTGAAGATCCTAAGCGCAAGTTTGCAGGAGTGATCGATATACATGCTAAGCTAACACCTTCCCATTTTTATTTTCTTTTACACCACTCACTCTCATCGTATAACTTGTGTCATCACTCAAAATTCTAATGTTCACTCCCTCTCCCTATAATCTCCTGTTTGCCTAATATCAATTGTTTTTTCATTTTTCACATGATTTTCGTGTATAATATATAATATATAAACGACTTACAGAGCTACAACTTGTGTTACGTCTTATTTACAGATATACTTTTTTCGGCCTATCTATGTACAAACGAAAACCGGAGAAACTAAAGAGAAATGGACAAAAAGGACAAAAAGGAATAGGACAAAATCAAGGTATATACTGCGCAGTTGGCGAGAGAACAGCCCCTTGTCGCTGCAGCTCTTTACAGTAACGTTGAATAATTGATCCGCGGAAGCTCTCCTCAGTAATCGTTGCGCAGGTACAGGCCCTGATCTCAGATGGGCGTCGGCAGCACCGTGAAGTCCTGCAGCGCGGTTTTCACGGTCTCGTAAATTGGCCGTTGTGACTCATCGGTACAATAACCGTCAGCCGTGCACAGAGTTTGCAGCTTCGTTAGGTAACTGTCAAAGTTCTCATGGCCCATCTTTTCGCTCGGTGCGATCACTGCTGTTGCACCTGGTCCTACGGCACCCGCTGAACCCGGGATTCGCACGTGCTCCAATAGGCTTATCATGTTTTCACGTAGCGATGCGTAGTACTCGTTCAGGTTGTTATTGCGCTGAGATATGACGGCATTGTCCTGCGAAAATTTAATTGTTCACGTTTCTTTTTCACTTTTTACTTCATGCAACATTTTATTGAAAATCATAGCGAAAAAATTATCTGTGTACTATGATGGTGTCCTTAGTCTTTGTACTGGTTAATATGCATTTGTAACTCAATTTTTTCAATGCTTAATTATATTAAGCAATTAAATTACAATTCAATATAATATGGAAGGAAAAAACATGACTTTGAAGAGTAACTTGACATTTTTATTTTAGTTCCCATGAGTTGATCAATTAATAAAAAGTTATTGATTGATGTTGTATTCTAAAAATAAATGACTCTGTCAAGTAGTTTTTGTAAATTATTTTTATCGTGATACTTTTACCAATCCTCAAATTCAAGTTAACTAAAAGTTCAAGGCAAGTCATGCACGGTATAAATTTCGCCGTGTTTGTTATCAGTGAGAAGAAATCTTGGAGATCAACTTGAGATAAGTGTTAAAGAAAGCAAAGAAAGAAAAATGAAAAGCAACATGCAATTTGTAAACGGACAAACAAAGTGGGTTCAAAGTATTGTGTTTCATGTACAAAACATGGCATAACTTCATAAACAAAGAAATAGAACAGTAAAAAAGAATGTTGTCTGGTCGATTGAAAATTGCTGTCTGGTAGGTAGGCACAGTCATTCACGCTGTTAACATCTGATAGTAAGTGATGAAAGCTTACTGATTGTGGGTTTTTGAATGAATAAAGCTAAACCATAGAAATAAAAAGTACAGCAAAAATAGCGACAACCAATTTGGCTACTCTTAATTATGATAAGTTATGAAGATTTGTGGAAAAATCGATTTTTTGAAAATGCTTATTGGGCGCGTCGTTATATCGAATACGCAAGTAACGCCCACACCGACGATGGGTTCCATACCGACCGAGCTTTGAAATTGAGCGTCGAGGCGCTATCGTCTGGCTTCCGAGAGTAGGCATATACGTACACACACACACAAACATATATCGTTGCGGGGTTGCAGCAGTGCGGCGCTTTCTCTCTCGGTCTCGGTCTCGCTCTCTCTCTCTCTCTCTCTCTCTCTCTCTCTCTCTTTCTCTCACACACTTTCTCTTTCTCGCTCTCTCTCTCTCTCTGTCGCTTTCTCACCTTGTCGCCGTGTTTCAGTTGATTCTCCATAGCGGTGATGTCGGAGCGCAGACGCAGTACCTGCGACTCAACCCGAGCGTTTTCACGCTGCAGCTCTGTGATCTCAGCCTCCAGTGTATACAGGTCCTCGGTCTGACCTGGTGTTACACTGCCAACGCTTCCCGTTCCACCACCACCGACACTGGGATTATTATTTGTTGAGCCGACTGGAGTAACACCGGCGGACAATGCCGATGGACCCACTGGTCCCAGTGATGACGGTATTCCTGGCGATGGTCCTACCGGGATGCTAACGCTGCCCCCTGTCTCTACCCCTGTGCGGAGAGAGTTTTTCTCATAACGCCGCTGCCTCTTTTTTGTACTTTCAAAATTTGATTCGTAGTTCCAAGCCCAACTTTGGTTTTCGATATTTTCACATTTTTAATGCCGTGCGAGATTTTGTGATTTTAAAAATACAATATCACAAAGTGTAAAAAAATAATCTAACGGTTTAAATCGCCATGAAAAGTCCATGTTCAAGTGAAAATCACGCAAATTAAGTTCAATCTGATAAACATCGTCATGTCAAAAGCTGTGCCTGCCACTATGAAACGTCGTTCACTCCCTTTTTATGGTCTGTCATTATCTGCTCGTTATCACACGCCGCCTATTATTATTTATGACGAGCATTTTGAAGGAGCACGTGTGACATACACCTCGTGCGAGTGCTGTTTCTGGTATCCTAATTGCCGTGTACGTCGATAAGAACTACTACAACTAACACCCCTACGTGAATGAATTCATTTGATAAATCCTCTGAAAGTCCTCGCTCGCGCGCGGCGTCCTTTTGAAAGGTGCAACCTGTGGATATTTTCGTGCGAGAGTGCGTAGCCAGATTTAAAAAGGACTCCGCGCATTCGACGAGTCAATTGTCAAGGGATAAAGAAGGGATAAACAGCGTGAAGTGCCATCATACCAGACAGTTTCAAGAATGAAGGGCGACACCGAGTGTTGGCTTTCTTTTAAAGCTCAGCTTCAAACTTGAGATTTGCTCAATATGCTTTTTTAACGATGTTTTAGTTACACAAGCTAAAAGAATTCACTCACAAGAAAACGTGATTTTTGAATGAGCGTGCCTGCAATCCATAGAGCAATAAAGCAGAGAGAGGAGATTGAGAAATTATAGTGTCGCGTGCCAACACTCGAGTATCACTTCTTCTTCTTTTTCTTTTTCTTTGCTTTGTTGAGTGTGCGTGTGAGGATTATGTATGTAAACACCGAAAAAAAAAACAAGAAAAAACACACAGAAAACAAGATGGCGAGTACGTCGGTCCCTTACCTTCAAAAGTAAATGTTCTCCTCAAAGCTCAACGACAGGAAAGGAGCTGATTGTGATCCCAGAATAAACCAGAATACATTATTTTTCATAATAGTGGCGTTGATCCGTATTATTGCATATTTGTGTTCAAATTGATTTTATTGACAAGTAATAATGTTTATAAATTTATTTTGAAATTATTGACAATCGAGTTTTAATTAATGAGTTAATTGACTTTTTTTAATAATTGCCATTTTTTCGTTTCCAGATAACTGAATTTTTTCATTTATTTATTTTCTTTAAATACTTTACTCTTCGTGACTCTGAAGAAAATAATACATTGAAAGCAATTGCTGTATACTTTCATATGTGCAAATTTACAAAAGAACGTAGGTAAAAATAATTTAAAAGTAAATTACACAAGCCAGTAAATATTTTTTCTTATATTTGACTTTGATGTTATGAGGTGGAAAAGCTATATAATATTATATGTACATGCAATGCTTTAATTAATATAAGGGGACTGGAGGAATCAACCAAAGCTATTGTGTTTTGGTTCGAGTCACGAAGGGTACATAAAAAAATGTCTAAATTATTTTTATGATAATACTGAATACTCTGAAACAATACTAAGGAAAATAATGTAAGGAATGTTCGTCTTTATGGCAACACATATATGGATAGGGGGATGGATGTATTTTATAGGGCATCCTGATTGGTATGACAGCACATCACTGCGTGAAAGTTAAGAGCAGAGCGTGGCAAAATACAAAGTCAAATACGAGTTGAAATATGTGACAGTATCTCATTTCTTTGTCGTTTAAACAAACAATTTTTACAAATTATTAAAAAAAATCAAAATGACTACAATAAAAATTTGATTCTGTACAAGGATTCATCGCGCTAATCGAGAGAGAAAAAATTTCGTTCAGGCAAACTCGAAGCAATAATTTACTTTTAAAAAATTTTTTCGAACACGAAATGAATGTCGGTAATATATCGAATGTAATGATTTTCGCCAAACGGATAGACAAGTAGTAGAAAGTACAAAAGAAAAAGAAAGTGACAAAAGCAAAAAATAAGAATGAGCTCTCACCTGTGATGCCTTTACCGTACATGGCGGACATGTCCTCGAATTTGGGCTTCTTGACTGTGTGTCCAGCGATGGGGCAGCCAGAGAGGCTACGGTGCGTGGAGAAGGAGCCGTTGATGTGGCCGATGCCGTCGCAGCCGGGTGTTGGACAATTGACGCCCTCGAATTTCATGGCAGTGGCCGCTGCGACCGCGGCTTTGTGCTGCTCGACCGTGCCGCCTGACTCGAGGACCCTCATCTTGTTGCGATTCGCGATGGGGCAGCCCGATGCGCTGTAATCATCCCCAGTTCTCATCTCAGTCTCTCTTTGTCCTTGCCTATACACACTCCCGACCTTTGTGCTCTCGCGAGGGAGTTCTTTAATTTAATTGACGACGGACGAGTGCATCACTCGTACCGTCAATGAGCGCGAGGCAAGGGTGGACACATTCGTTAGCCTTAACATTTGGCTTTTGTAGGCTTCCTTTGACAGGCTCAAAGTCCATTTAGCAGCATTTGGCTCATTGTAAATAGTCTGCCAAATTAAGCCTTCTATTCAAAGATTTTTTTCACAGACTATAAGATCAATGGCATATTATTTCAAGTTGGCAAGATAATTAATCGATCAGAAAGTAACACGTTAAAATTTCATTTATTGTCGCAATATCAAGAATTCAGCAATTATAGCGAATGCTTCGTGAAAAAATTTTAAATGAAATGAAAACAAAAGAGACCATAGACAAATATTTACCTGCGATGAGAGAGGAATTTACCAGTGGCATGACCAGATCCGTCGCAGCCTGGAATGGGACATCTGCTAGGCAGTCGGCATCAAGTCACAATCCAGTGAGTGAGAGTGAGCGATGTAAGGCGCGCAAGCGTGAAACGAGCGGAAACCGACAGATATTAGTCAGCGTCTTCGCTTTAAACTTGTCGCGCGCGCGCGTGGCTGAAGGGCTCTCTCTCTCTCTCTCTCTCTCTCTCTCTACATTTCCCCTTTGCAATGCAAGACCTCCGAGCCCGTATGAGTGTACACACGCGAGCAATCGAGTGCATTCATGCCCGTAATAGGTGACGAAGAGAAGAGCCGCCAAATCCAAGGACCGATTTCAATCAATTCAATCTAATGAGAGTAAGAAGATACAAGTCAGCTTAACTTGAGCTATCGCAGTGCTTTAGTTTCTTGAAAGGAAAGAGAGAGAGAGAGAGACGGCTTGTCATCAAATATGTGATCAGCGTACGTCAACTCCTTTTCGTATTGACGTGAAGGTTGCTTTGGTCAGGCATTGTTTAATATCGGCTATTCTAACAAAGAACCTCAACCCATTAAGCAATGAATAATAATTTCGCAAGAAAAAATCATCCAAATAGGCGTAGTGTTCCTTTGCGACAGCTATAGCACTATTAAGAGTTTCCATACTCTTTACAGTGATCGTAACACCACGACGATAAAAATGATACGAGCCTGGAAATGCTCGACGCCTCGGTGCAACTTTACAGCCAAATAAATTTTATCGTCACATCGCTAGTACTGACCTCAGCGGCTCAGAGTCCTGTCCGTCGCGGGGCTTGCTTTTGGGCTTGTTGGCCCGAGGGCAGCCCGAAAGGCTTCTATGCGATGAGTAGTTGCCCGTAACGTGTCCCGAACCATCGCAACCCGGCGTCGGGCATTTCAGTTCCTGCGAGTGCGCTTGGATTTGCGATCGGTCCGCTCTTGGGCAACCGGATAAACTGTAAAAGAGGATGTGAACAATTTTATTTAGTAAACCTTCGTTAAAATGTAACAGTTATATTTTTAAAAAACTATGCCGCTTTTCTTTTCTTTAGCTCGACTATATGACATACCGATTGTTATTGTTATTTAAATAACGTTGATCATAGTTCTCGATAACAAATGCACACCTCATAAACGTCCCAGAATGGCATCATAAATACACTGCATGCATTTTACGGGACGTTGTCAGTGGACGTCATGATTCAAGGCGCATTACCAACTTTCTCATGGTAACTTATCGCCGCAGTTTTTCATCGTTATTAGGCAAGGTCAAGATTCTAACGACTTCCTACGTAGTCTTTCTTTCACGCGTAAGAAGTTTCCCGAAACAGTCTGTGTGCATTATGGAATCACGCGTCCACAGAGTACACACAAGATATGTCAATATATAAACATGCAAATGGCAACGTCGTAGTTCCAATCGGATCATTTATGAGGTGTCGCTCGTAAGATTGAATACTTTACATAGCGAGGCCTTGTTCCCGTAGATTGCGAGAAAATTTTTTTCAATCTTAATCTAAAAACACTGAAGGGAGAGCAGGGAACACACTCATACCTGACCCCAATGAAACTTGTCGATTGCCAATTGATTTTATTTACATTTCATGAATATCTTACAAATAAAGTTCGATCGACGCAATGTTGCGAATATATATGCAATAACATGGTCATTGACTAAGCTGCTCACTTGAGGCTGCCACAATTTTATTACGAATGAGGCGTATATATATGTGAAAAAATTGTTATCCCTTTTCGTAGGGGTCGGGTTCGCAAAATATGAAGGTGTCATTCAACACGAATTATTATCTACACATAATTTTATGAAAATAAACAAAACAAAAGATTATCGAGTAGAATTTGAATAAAATTTGAGTTATTTTGCGATGATCCGGCAAATTAGTAGGGAAAACGTTAATTTATGTTTTATACATCTGTCAAAGTAAACTAACAAATTCAAATACATGCAAAAACAATGTTTCTCAGAGTAGAGGAGTGAATTTGGTTCGCATGTTATCAGTCTGACAAAGCGAATGTGTGGGTATACGTGTATGCGCGCGTGCGTGTTGTGCATGTTCGTCGTAGCGTACTTGAGAATGTAAAAAGATGTATAAAGGAACGAGGAGAAGGAGAGCCTGTGAAGAAAAGAAAAATATGAAATGGCTCGGAAGTGAATTAGCAGCAGCAGCAGCCTTGCCTTCTGTGGGTAGCGTAGTTGCCTGAGACATGACCCATGCCATCGCAGGAAGACGTGGGACACTGTATCAGCTCCCGTCCGTCACGACCGCGAGGGGTCGTCCTCGGACTGACGCCACAGCCCCCCGCGATACTCAATGATTGTCTTCTCATATTCATACTGCAGCCGCACAACACATACATCATCAGTCACCAAGCCAACACATCTTACGTGATTTATTACGTGAGCTTTTGCTCTAACTATACCAAGCATTTACTTTACATGATACCTTTTCAAGACTATCTTTATTTTTTAGTTTTTGGGTTAACACGCTTAACAAAACATGAAAATATTAACATATTAACATATTTTCATCTTTTCCGATAAGATTATATATTTTGATCTAATAAAATGTAGTTATAAAATGACTTGTAATATTTAGTTGTTTTTCACTTTATACCCTTCAATCAACCTCTCGTTCATTAAGTTAACGCATACCGGATATGTTTGCTTGAAATTGAAAAGAAATTTTGGTAAAGATCATTAGGTTTTAGGTAGAAAACTTGCACAAACGGCGTTTCGGTCGCCGGGAGTGAATATGCCCGGCAAAGTTGTTGGACTCTTCACGTATACATGACACACACGCACGCGCGCGCATACACACACAAAAGTCAAGGCGGTTGGCAAAGTTTGATTGCATTTCCTGATCTAACGGAACATATGAAAAACGGACGCGAAAGTGCACTTGAATCGGGAAGGTTCTTGCCCGTGTATAGAGAGAGAGTGAGAGAGAGAGAGACAGAGAGAGAGACAGAGAGAGAGAGAGAGCCAGATAGAGAGAGAGAGAGAGAGAGAGAGAGAGAGAGAGAGAGAGACAGACAGACAGAGAAAGAGAGAGAGCGAGAGAGATGGGTTGGGCTATGAGGAAAGCCTCGATGGCCCTTGAGTGGCCGCGATATTGCTCGGGGGTTGCTTGGGTGCAATCACGCGCGAGCGCGGCCTGCCTACCAAAGCGTCTAACCATTTTCGGCGGAGGAACGCAGGCGCGCCGCTTGTCTCTCTCCCGTTCTGTCTCGAGAGAAGATCCTCGTGTATGAAGCTCACTCGAATGCCATGGATGCACATATAGTCGGAGCTGTGTTTTACGCGATGCCCTTATGTACGTTTACTTTACTCTTTGTGTCGCATTCTTGCTTATGAAGAAAAGTTAGCTCGTTAGATTGTATCGTTGACGCGTTTTCGTGGTATATGCGCACTCTATGTGTTTCAAAATTTGAGAAAGAGAGAGAGTATGCGATAAAGATCAGTCTGTTTTCGGCCCCAATAAGTGGAATTTGAGTGATCTATCTACCCGGCGTCCGTGTCGGAAAAAACCCATCGCGTGTTGTCGCTCGACGCTCCAATGAATGCCGAGGGTTCACGACGCTGCGTTCCTTTTCGCGTGGACAATTGGTCCCCCACTACAAGGCCCGATGCCGCGAGGGCGGTTCCTTCGTTTTCCTCGCAGAAAATGTAAAGATGAGAGGCAGTTGTTGTCTACATATCGCCTCGTCCAGTACTCACTTTCTCTGTTACGTTAGTGTCCGCGACAAGAATCAGTTCTGTCTTATCTTACATCGTACGCGAGATTCCAAAAACCCCTGTGCGTATCGTTATCGCACCTTGGCGTACCTGTGTGAGAAATATAAGCGTTCCCAGGTAACATCTACTGTTCGTATGCACTTGTATTAGTGCAACTTCAGGGTAGCTACTTAGCGAACCAGTGACTACAATTAGGGCTAGCGACAACACCATCGGCCTAGCTGAGGATACGACCGTTATCTTCTGAAGCGTCTTCGACCAGGATAACCCGAACGACGACAACTCGGTCCATATCAACCAATAGGGACAGCGTAGTACGGGCCGTGTCCGTGACTAAGTTGGCACTGCGTTGTTCCAGGGGGCGCTTTCTTTGTCGCACATAGTGTGCAATCTGTATCGCGTGGTAAGTGAATAGCAATTATCTATTTTGAATAGCCATTCATCCGGCGAACATATATTATTAGTTATTTATACGTCAGCAGCATATGGTGTGCCATTACACCGGAGAAGAACATGTTTTCAATGCGAGATAGATAAGAGCTGAGGCAGCGAGCGTAGCGAGTGCCGAGGCTTTTATATCCCGCGATGGAAATATTTTCTTCTTCGATGTGAAGTCACTCGTTGTGCTACTGATGCTTAATAAATTTTTCATTTCTGGTAAGGTTGTGGGTTTCTAGATACCGAGAACAATCGGTTGGTAAATGTGTCCTTTACGACGCAATTATACACGGTTTATAATATATTAAGTATAATAAATAACATTTTTGCTTTTAAAGTCTTTTATTAAGAACACTCTCGATACTATTGAACCGGCTGACCCAAACATGTGCTGTCAAAATCATGCCTTTGTCACGTCAAAGCAAAAAACTACTATTCGTTTAGCTAACTTACGCCCCATGTGGTGAGTCAAAGTTTCAATGGAAAATTTTGAGTTATTTTCCAGTGTAATGAATCCTGCCTTCTTCTAGTATAATAGCGCTACTATCCAGTAGGAGCTGCTCGCGCAAATAGGACTCATTTACCGACCGAGTGTACTCTGTAGGTAAAAGCGCAAATACGGCCGCCTGGAGTGATATATATATATTTTATATTTATATACATTATTATTTATTAATTATATATATATAATTTCTTATTTATTTATATAATAAATATGCAGTGATATATATATATATAGTACAGGCGGCCGTGTATATATATATATATATATATATATATATATATATATATATAAGTAAAATAAACTTATATATATATATATACACACACACATATATTTCAGTTTAGGCGTAAATAACTAATATAAGGTGAGCGCCACAAATAATACGGTCAATTTTATTTCAACTACGCTAAATTTTATTGTCTATGCGTTTGTAACGTGTGTATCTAAATGGCTTTTTCCCCACCTGCAACTAAAGTTTTTTTCATGCCGGCTAGGTACATGTTCGTTTTAAAATAAATATAATTTCTTTTAATTTCATTTTCTGACTTCACACATGCTACCTGTTTTGTACATTAGTCCTGATATATTTAAATTAAACAACACGAGTATCACGTTATCTTAAATGTACATCGATGTGTTCTTTAGTAGTTGAATTTGCGCTCAGAGCATAGTTACTTACAAGAAATCCTCCATAGTGATCCTTAACGGCAAGCATTAATTTTGTAAGTCTATCGCACGTGCCAATCCGAAACGAATGTCGATAATTACATTGATTTACACTTAATAGCCGCGAGTAGTCGAGAATAGCTCGCTAAATCTTTGCGAGCTTATAAGCAAAAATAAAAGAGGCAGGCCGATAGAAAAGTTTTCACGTGCTGCAGACGACTCATATCTATATACGTGCCAGCCGTAATATTGGCCTGGGTCATTAATAACTCTGAAGTATCGGAGCCTCAGTTCCCACGTTCTGTCCCGCCGGTTGCCTCTGCCGATGGTGTTATAGCCTCCACGACTTCACAGGAGGGGAATTGAAGAAGAAGAGCCTTTCGAGAGATAGCGGCTCGCGCATCTTGAAATCGATTCTTCGATGAGGCTGCAGCTATATAGTGCGCAATCTTTGCAGATATAGCGCAGGAGGTGAGGCTTGATCGAGGGCTAAGATATTTATCTAATGAGATTTTCGTCTGACTATAGACGAATTTCGCTACTTGAAGTCGACGTGTATATATAAATTCTTTCCTTTCCGAAATGGAATAGATGTTAATATTTGTAGATTTATCTTGTATTAGAGATGACTAATGAATGAACACTTAACTTTTTATGAATTGCCAATGATCGAATCGATCCAATTAATAAAAACGTCGGGAACACGTTGACGAAAGGCATCGCATCGAAAAAGTCACAGCTGCGTCCCCTGTTAGCGACAACATTAGATTACGCGCGTCAAAACGTTTTGAGCGGGCAGGAATCAGAGAGTGAATGCCGAGCAAATTTGACGCTCGGACCTTCGGCGTGGAAGGGCTAGGTTTGCGCGCATAAGAAGCGTGACCGGCGTGTTGGTGTGAGTTGAGAGTTTTGCCGTAGAGGTGTATCCCGGGTCCTAACTCCGTCGGGACTGCTTCTCCACCTCCTTCCATAATCCAGTGCGGTGGCAACTGATTATACCCCGACCCCCTTATCCCCGCTCGCGAAGCCCTTCGAACGGTGGAGGCGTCGGCGGTAGCGGCGCAGCATCCCCGAGCTTTACGTCAATTAGAATAAGGTTGGCACTCTCCCGCGCGCGCGCTACGAAGAGTAATTACTTTAATTAACAAAATGGAGGTAGGAAAAGACGAGGACGCAATTGCCTCGCGATATACGTACGTGCTCAAGTGTTTGCGTGAGTGCGCGTGTGTATACGGCGCGAGAAGAGAACGGAAGTTTCATCCTCGAGCTCTAAACCACCGCCGCGCGCTCGCCTTTTTAACGAATTATGCCATGGAGATGTAAGCCCATGCTTTTGCTCGCACTCGTTCACGTTTTTCAAAGGCCAACAGCGCTTTATTATTTTAGTCGATGCTGTGGTGAGCTCTGGCGCATCCTTTTTCGCAGAATTTTATTCTTCTTTTAAGTGAGAGCAGGGTTTGTGCTAACCGCTACGAGCCAAACGAATACCAAACATTTTATTTTGCTCTTTCACCGGCATGTATATTCGCCGTATTTTGTCATGTGTGGTAGTTGTTTTTATTCAATTCTGAGCCGGCGTCAATGAAATATTTATCTCAACGCATGATTCATCCAATGAAATTTGCTTGAATTTAAATAATTAGATGTTTTACAACTCAAACTATCGCATGATCATGTAGCACTATAAAGCTTACACTTGTATCCCTATAAAGTAATCGAATGCGGTTTCTTGTCCACGTAAGAAAATATCGCAGCGTTATCAAAAATGCAATCAGTCGCGACAACAAACCCAAGCGGATCCGGAAACAGAAACCGGCAATTACAATGCCTAGCTCACGCCACTTCCTATAAAAAAGAAAAGAAAAAAAACGCAAGCAGCTTTTGTATATACTCGGAGCCAATCTGTTGGTTCGCGTGACTTCCGGCCCAGGAGCAACTTCCGCAAGAGTAAAAAGCTTACCTATCGTCCTTGCCCGTGGGCTTGTCGAGGGGGCCAATCGTGTGCTGTGGAGGAGGCATACTGTAACACGGTGCAGGCGTGTAACCCGCAGGTATTTGATATCCCGAAGTGACGGGGCCGCCCGGGTAACCGCTTGCACACTGGTACCCTGCCGTTGGGTAGGGTGTGTATGTGTTGCCTGGATATTCTGCTTGAACGCCTGTCATACCATAGCCTGGGTGGGGACTCATTGGTCCGTAGCCTGCAAATATTAAAACGCGTTTGTCAAGATTTATTAACTTTGTCGTCTCAATATGATTATAAACAAATGATTCGAATATTCATCAAATGCGTTAAATTTTACCGGTATCACGTAATTACTTTCTGGAGCAGAATAAAGCAGAATACCTATCTATTGGAGCTATTGACATAAGCCGAAAAAATGAGCATAGCAAAATAACATTATGTAAGTTAGATGGAGAGCCCGACGACAAAGCTCTTGCCACGAATCTCCATAAAAATGCATCAATAATTAAGGAAGGGCCGTGCGCGTACGCACGATATTAGTCGAAAAATTCGCGAGTGCAATGCGAGTCTTCATTGTGAGCGGACAAGTTCGTTTCGACGGGAGCGAGAGAGGGCTTGATTAACCGTTGTTAAGTCCGCGCGTTTATTTGGCAGAAAGAATTGCGCGCTAGAAAACATATATCACGTCGCGAGCTCGCTTGGCATTCGCGCGTATGTTTCAATTTCAATAACTACTCCCCAGCGTCATACAGCGTACTTCCACAAGCTCGCTTTCCATCTGCGTGTGCTGTGCCCGCGAATACCGTGTATCCGCGCCAACGCGAAATATTGATAATTAACAATGGCCAGAGCGAGAGAATGGAACGAGAGAAGAAAAGAGGGGTAAGCAAGGAGGAAGAGGGATAGCGTTTGAAATTTTTTTTATATTCGGCAGTTGTAACCGCGTACTGCACGTACACTCTGCCTCGGGGGAACCGAGCGTACGAGTAAGAGAGCGGCTCTTTGTTCTATTCCGATATATCGCCCCTTTCTGCAGTGGCACGTCGACCGCCGATGTAATGACACGCTACCCGACAATGTATTCATTTCGACTGGAACGTGTCTCGCGCAAATTTATAGCGTTTGCCAGTAAAAACCGAGAGGGAGACTGAGTGAGTGAGGTATGAAGCGAGCTTTTCATCATTCGCTCTTTCCTACATCGTAAATGTGGGCCACTGTAATATAATCGTACGCGGGAATATTGCCAAGCCGCTGCTGCATGGAGACGCCCAGAGAGAGACAGCGAGAGAGAGAGAGAGAGAACGAGGGAGAGAGTTAGAGAGCAAGAGAGAGAGAGGGAGGGTGGGCGGGAGGGAAGGGGGAGAGAAAAAATTCTGTTTTTGTTGTAAGTCTATTTGTTGCGCTGCGACTCGTCTTTTTAAAAAAGCTTTTGTACTGTGTTATTTCATTCTCAAACAGTGGTTTTTTTCTACAGTATATAAATTATTTCAAGCTTGTTCAAACTAAAATTGAATGAAATAATTCAACACAAATTTTATTTGCCAATTGAAATTTAACTTGTATACTATACGACTATGATTTATTTTACTGCTCATTGGATAAAAGTAAATATATATTTAAAGCGAAGCTTGTTTTCGTTTTATTAAAAAGTTATTTATAAAAGTAATATAAAATATCTTTCGTATATGTTGTTTTTGTTCATAATATTATGAATTGATTAAAAAATGTCTTATTTACATACATTTTATATCTTTAAAGTAAGTTCACCGCGTATTAAAAAGCGGGGTGAGTTAAAAAAAATATGATTATACTTTTCTCAAACTTACCTGTTGGATCTCTGTAAGCATCCATATAATGTGATCCGCCACTATCAGGTGTACTTTCGCGACTGTAAGCTGCTGCATGAACGCCTGGCGGAAAACTTGGCACAGGCCTGATGCCCCCGCTGAAGTTGACTGGTTCATTGGCCGTGGAGAAATCAACAGGTTCGGTTTGCTCCTCGATCGGTCGAGGCGCCGTGAATCCGGGACCTACTGGTACTGGTACACCGTCGGTACCGTGTCCTCCCGTCGAATATTGTGGACTTGGTGCTCCGCTATATTTAAAAAGGCTTTGTTAAAACATTTTTTTATACACAATACAATAAATAAAATTTAACGATATTGTTCTTGCTAATACCTAAATTAACCATTTCCGTAAAAGCATGTAAATAAAACATAAAAATTCAAATCATATGGAAATTATAATTAACTTTGAATAAAAAATAATATTTGAAAATTGGATGCATAAGAGAACATTTAGCGGTAATAAATCAAGGGTGAAAGAGCAATGAAAATTTCAAGCAATTGGTCCGAGTGGAAGCGCGAGGTTTTGTCTGTAAACACTAAATTAATTAAGCAGCGATGATATTCGTGGAGGTGTTACCTGTGCAGTCTGTTCACGCTGAGGTCGAGGGTTTGGCCTTGGGGACTGGGTACTTGGGGGCTGGCCGTTAGATGAGGGCTCGCCGCTGCTTGAGGGCTACCACCGACGGTCTGGCCGCCGCCGTATTGCGGACTCAGACTGTTCGATCCATAGGGTGCCGCCTGCAACAGTTATATACATATAGTTAATAGATAATGAAATTATTTTCTCTACTCCTCTTTCATAGGCTATAAATGTATATTGGCCTAAATAATCTACAGTCTATCGATTTCCAGTTAAGATAGCGCTTCTTATATTTCTACCTGTGGACTAGTTGACGCCACACTCGACGTAGACAAGTCCATAACTGTACCCCCTGGCGATGTTGGCGGACCATTGGCTTTTTGCATTTGTTGAACTTGTGCGACGGTCACGCATTTTACTGGAATACACAGAACAAATATCGTTAGATGTCAGTTGGTAATGGTACATTTCCGTTATATTTCTATTTTTGCGCGTAATGATTATTAAGTCCTAATTAAAGCAAAATCAAATGGAAATCAGGAAAATAAAATCTTTTAACAAGTACTGACCATCTTCAGTCTTCATCATGCTGGCAACGGTAGCAGCAGCCATAGCCATTTGGTGTTGTTGTGCAGCAGCAGCAGCTTCCTGATGATAAACTCGCTCCTGCTCTTCGGGTGTCATTCCCGTCTGTCCCAAGTAGTACATATTTGGCCTCGCATGTAATTGCTGTTGTTGTTGCGGCTGCTGCGGCTGTAACGTCGCACAAGCTTGTGTGTCGTAACGTTCGTAAGCTGCAGCGGTGCCAGGATCGTAAGGTCGGTGATTCGCCGTCCCAGCACTCTCGTATCCTCTAGTGATATCGTTCGAGTAAGTGACAACGGGTCTGGCGATGTTAGTCGTATGCTGCATGTAATTAGCACGTGTGTGATCGCGCTGGTGCGAGTACACGTCATCGGCACTGGCCAGCAGCGAGGACTCGTAAGGTGAACGTTGCATCTGATGACCTTCCACGCCCATTGGCATCGGATAAGCGACGGCTGGTTGCATGGGTAAGACGTGATGAGCACCAGGGTGCTGAGGTTGCATTGTGCGACCGCCCATCGCTTCCATTGACGACATCGACGACGAATTCGAGTCTTGACTGAGGTACGAGTCGTACGTCGGTGCTTGCCGTACTGCATTTGGAGGTGGAGGTGGTGGTGGGGGAGAGTTCTGCCCTCCTACGCGACACGATGGCGAATCCTCGGTTTTTGGTACTAAAAGTTCCTGACTGGCGTTGGGTCGTGTTGGCTGGGGCGGCAGGCTGCAGCAACTTTGCGAGGAAGATGTGTTTTCGGTTTTTGGTACGACCTTGTTGGCATTGTGGCGCGACTGGTTACTATCCTCGGGTGTCTTTGGTGGTTTGACGTTGAGACTCGATGTTACAGGCTTGCTCGCGCCGTAGTAGTCGTACGTCGGCGACGATACCACCGGCTTTGTATCTTGCTGCGTTGTAGAGACGTACTGAGGATATAGCTTGCTGTCCATTGTCGGTGGCAGTAGGTTTGTGCTTATGTATTCTGGTGGTATTCCTGACACTGATTTGCAATATTTCATCGTGTGATTGAGCTATTTCTAATAATATTAAAGCAGTGCATTGAAATTGTATTTAAAAAAGTATTATACTCCAAAAATATTTTACAATCTGTGGCAATTTTAACGCTTGAAAGACGCCACAGATAGTAATAAGCAATGAGACTTTAGATCTGTTTCATTTCATGTAACATCTTCAAATGTTTATTATAAAATTGTATAAAATGATATATCTAGTCATAAGTTTTTTGGCGCACAAATACAATTTCACTTTTATGCTGCATTCAGACTTATCTGGTAAACGTTGAACATGAATAATATATTACAGCATTATGAACTTTACTGTTTACAATCTTCATAACTCATAAATTTTTGTTTACTAAATATTTAGAAGCAACTAAAAAACCATTCAAACAACAATAAATCATATTTCTATGTCTATTGAGAAAACTACATGTGTAAAATAACTTGGCTATAAGCCAAGTTAGTACACGCATGATTACGTGATGAAATATAAATATATGATATTTACAGCGTATACCAGTTGTTTTTTCCACCACTGTTGATTGCTTTGATCTTTAGACAACATCTAGCATCATATTTACATCTTACGAGCGTTTTAAAGTGATTGAGCTGTTTGTAATATCTAAGTATTATTTGTTTTCGTTTTCAAAAATTTCGTGTAAAAATAACATTGAACTCTATGTAAGATTAGAAATAACATATGAGAGAAATTTGCTATTCTATTCAAGTGATCACGCCAACGTTTCTATTAAATATATCAATTGCGAGTGAGCCAAATCGATATTTGCTTCTGTATCACTTGAAATATTTAAAGAAAAGAAAAAAAGCGTGATAAATGTAAAAGAGATATGAGCGAACTCCCAAAACTTTTACAATTCTAGTTATTCCATGATATCGTGCTTTAATAAGGGCGAATTTGAAGAAAAAACAGTTTTTTGTGGAAAAAATGACGACTAATAATTTCTACTAGTTTATTTTGGACCATCGATTACAGTTATAAAGCTATAAATTAAAAATGTATGATTTTTTCAAGATATCAAGTTGAAACTCGCTATACAAACTTGTTTCTTAGTATTGTAAAAAAAGTCTTGGATAAATTATTTCAAAATTTTCTTGTAGATACTTTTTAATACATATTATTAAAATAAATGAGCTTCAAGAATGTGCTTCTATCACGCAAAAAATAAAAAATACAAATAGAAATGTTACTTATTTTGTAAAAAATCGAAAACTTCATAAATTTTGTTTTCTTACGAAAAGAACTTTTTTATAACTCATATATAAATAAATAGAACTTATTTTACTTCAAAATATCAATCTAATACAATTTTTTAATTTTTCTGCCTTATAAATATTCTTGAGTTACAGATTTTTGTAATTAGTAGTCAATGAGCAACTCATTTGAAAGAAGGTGTTTTTTATTCGCACAACTAAAATACCTTTTCAATTAGTGGATAACCTAAAAGTCAACACAACTTTATTTACGTATTGAACGGTGCTTAAGTTTCTTATTCATAGCGTCGACTGATTAAATGCAATTAGAAAAATTATTATAATCAAATATCAACGAATAAATTTCAGTATGTTACCATTGATGCGCACATGTGTTATTTCTCTTTCAAAACAGATAGAGTAAATTCTACGTGTACTGAACTATATAAATAACACCAAAAAGCTCGCGCGGAAAATTTAGTGTCGTGGAAATTTTATTTTTCACAACTTAACTTTACAATGGATAAGATTAGTGAGGAAGAGAAAAAGAAAATATTGAAATCATTTATTATATTATTATTTTTAAAATATGAAAAATAAATTAAGTTTAATTGTTGCTAAAAATGATTTGATACATCTTCATTTTAACATCTGACAATCTTAACCTATTAAAAATGACTTTGAAAAATGTTTAAGTTTAGGTAAATTATGCTGGTTTACAAAAAAAGAAAAAATCATGAGCTTGTATTTTGTAATGCTATGCAAAGCCAACTACGAAAGAAAAAAAAATCTTGAAAGCTGTGCTTTGAAAGAATTTTTTTTTAAATAACAGATTTGAAAAGTTTTGGGGATTTGCTCATATACGTCCGTCGTTCGATACAGATAGTCTATGACTTAAATCAGACGACGATGTAAACCTTACCTTGTGCCTTATGTCGTGCTTCGCGAGCGGCTTGTTTATTGGCCGCGGCAATCGGGCATCCGGATAAGCTTCTATGCGTGTTTCGATTGGAGCTGACATGACCTCGGCCGTTGCAACCAGGCGTTGGACATTTCAAAATAGTCTCATGCATCGCCAGAACTGCGAGAACCCAGACACGTGTTTTGTTTTTGTTTTCGTTGTTTTACATTACAAAGAAATTGAGGATTTTATTACACGTTGACATCATATGTCATTGGCGTGCACACTTAGACAGAAATCACTGGCGAATCTCTTATATCGATTTGAGTATAATATATGTATAAATTTACTATCTGACATTTTAATGGAATAGACGATTCACGAAGGAAACAATATACGGAGAAAACAATCAGTAGAATGAAAATAATGAAAGGCAATTCATATTAACGTTCACGGATAGAACACAAATTTATATAATGAGTACATAATATACTGAGCGGGTAGAGAGAAAAAAAAATTCAACAAAAAAAGGTACAATTAATTTGGAAAGAAATTATAAATAACACAAGAAACTGTCGTTCGTGTATTTGTGATTTCACCTAAATATAATCATTTCTTTTTCTGTGTATTTGCTTAACAATATTATGTTCAATGAAAAGACGAATAGATAAGAGTCAGTTCAAACAAATGCTAATAGAATAAAAATATCCGTGAAATCTCGATCGCGATGAATGATAAATGTGACAATAAATATATTTCCAAGTGCGATTTAAAGGTAAATACGAATAAAAAATATTATTGAAAATTAATAAAAATTTGTAATGTAAAAGGTCATCGTCGAAAAAAAAAGTTCTGTACAATGAAACTGATGATTTAAAGTACGCAAAAAAAGAAAAGAAAATAAGTACCCGCATGAATCAAGTGAATGCCGCAAAGTTTGGATGAGCTTCCTGTATTATACTCAAAAGCGCAGTGAAAGAGATCCTCACTTTTGATTCTGGCGTGTGCGCATGGCGTTTTTCCGTGTATTTCTCTTACTTATTCTGCCCGTGTCTCGGGGTCTCGAGTTCTCCAAAACTCTAATACGGCAACATAACCAAGTCATGTGTGGTGATTATTCTCTACTAAACTGAGAAAACTACAAAGAGAATGGGTAAACAAATTATAAATAAAAAAGTGAACGCAGTAAATAAAGCTCTCTACCCCGCTAACAAAAAGCACAAAGATGTTAAAATGAAAAAAATAAATAAAGATCATAACAATAGACATACACATAAAACAGGCGCACACGCGTAACTCTGTCGTTTTTTGAACTGAGAGAGGAGAGAGGAGAGAGAAAGAGATTATAATTATACATGTACAGCAGGTGGCGTGTTTTCAATTGTACTCTTGATTTCAAACAACAATGACTTTTGTGATCAATATTTAACATTGAAGGCTATGTGCGCTACTATTTTTTGTTTTGTTTATGCTAATTACGTCGATATCAGTGGATCGTGTTATTTTCTTTCCGCTATATCAAGTTCAAAAAATATATCTATCAACAAAGAGCCGTCGTTACTGTGTTTTCAAGGATATATGCAAACTATACAGCTACGAAATAACGTGAGTATTAATTGAAAGCTGGTGTCGATGATACTCACTTTCTGGCGTTAATTTATCTTTGCGCGGACAACCGGATAGGCTGAAAAAGAAACAACTTCATTAGGGACTGTTCACAATAGACAACAATTTGTCGCTGTGGGAATTCAAAGTTTTTCGCCCGGATTAATTAATGTTACTAATTTTGTTTACGGGAAAAAGGATATTCAAAGTAGTTTTTCAAAAGAAACTCACTTTACGAGATTCAGCTAATTAACGTAAATAATTCTTTTGGGCACCGATACAGGGGAATTATGAAAAAATTATTGATATATGTTCACGATCAAGTACACGTATTGCGACTTATCTATGATAGGCAGTACTATTCAAAATAAATACTCCAAAGCGTTTAAACAAAATTTTACGTCTGTCAACAATAACTTCATGAATGCTTGATACTATGATATCGGTAGGGTTCGTGTTGCGTACGGATATCGATTCTGCGCGATTTAATTTTATATGTAATTTTTAATGTTAATTATTTCACATAGCGATTTTGTATTAAACACGAAAAATAAAATAATGAAAAAAAATGAAATATTATCTGACATAATACATTTCTGTAGAAAAATTAACAAACGATTAATTGGAAGAAAATATTTTACATGATATAACCGTATATTTGATCATTTATTAGTAATGGACAGAATTTTAAACATATATACTTTCAGTCAATTATTTTTCAATCGAATTTGTTGCAGAAAGTTTACATGGTCAACAGTATCTTTTTTCTAATAAATACTATTTGATGTATTCTGTTCCATCAAAAATAATTATACCAAATAAAAATAATTAGAAAATCCGTATTGAATCGTGTATAAACGGCATCTGTATAAAATGTACCGGGCCATGGTATCTATAACAATGAGCGAATAAAAAAAAAGAGCGCAGTTAATACGTTCGATCTCGTTTCCGGTTAGAAGAGAAAAAAAAAACAAGAAATCGACCAATGTGTCAGAATTGATTTGAGAGGCCAGTTTTGAATTAAATTCGACGAACAAATCATTGAATGAGGGCAGTTAGCACGTTGGGAGCAAGGATGGGAATGACATAAGCGAGCAAATCGTCATGAAACGAAGAGGAGTGCGTGGATGGTACATATAGATACGTGCAAAGTGCAGGTAGGCAGTTAATTCAGCGATAATTACTTACCTGCGGTGGTGCGAGTAGAGTCCGGTCACATGACCCTGCCCCGTGCAGCCGGGCGTCGGGCACTTGTTGCCCTCTGCAACAAATCAAACCATCCCCCACGTTTGGCCTTTAGTCCATTAAGCGTACGCATACAGATACTCACACTCTCACTCTTACTATGCAGAAACAGAGAATGAGGGACACGCACGAGTGTTCGCGCGTGCCCTTAGTCGATTTCTATCAATATAATCGCCATCGCAAGTCGTTAGCTCTCTGTATGAATTATTTTCATACGAGGACCTGAGGGTGTATTGCATCAATTAAATCACTGATAAGCTTTGAGTGTTTTTTCCAGGGGCGTTGCAAAATAAAAGCCAATCAACCGTGAATGAACTAGCCCTCCTTGTGCGTGCGAAAATACATATTGCACGCGTAACACTGTTATTCATAGTTGGTTGTATTATTTTTCTTTTCGAGTATCTCGTTCAATATTTTCCAAATTATTTCTTCCAATTGATTAGCTTACGATGATGATTACAGATAGACTCGACATTCTATAAATTAAATTATTACTGTTACAATATAACCTTTACAACCCGTTAATTTGACATAATCCCTTTTCATACTCAACTGCGACAAGTTCAATATATACATTAATGGAAACACACAGACAATCAAAATCCAATTACCCATGATAAATGTACATAATCTTGCATGATCGCATCCGACACGCGATAATCCGATCATAAATAATTGTCTCTTTATTTTTATAAAAATACCAATAAATGAAATTCCTTTCACAGATAAAATGAGCTAACTACCGATTGATGATTTAGCCAAGTCGTAAAGCCCCCTCTGCCCTCTGTCGTGAACACGCGTTTGTGAAAGGCAAAAGGATTGGATGCGAGCTCATCTGTATGTGTGTGCGGTCGCCCAGAAGATTTGGTCACACTACTTGCGTGAATGCGTGAATAGCCGTTGGGATTCCGCGGGGCTATGTGTGTCTAAGCCATGCGAGATTAACGCTAAAGCTACGGCAGACGCATGCTTGTTCATGAAAACAAAAATAGCTAATTCCCTTTACATTCCCGCAATTCACACATAGGCGAAACAGATGTAGGGCACGGGAATGTACGGTTTTATGTATGGTTATTGATTACTTGTTTTATGATTTAGGTTTATGAAGCTTGTAATAAAAATCACGGGCTAAGTTAATTGGATTGATGTAGTAGTCGCTTCTCTTTGATTTTTGTTGAAATAAAAAATTGCAAATTGTAACTGGTAGAATATTAAATAGGGATTGATTCAACAATTTCACTTGTACTGTACGGATCACGATCTAAATGGATATTCGAACTTCGCACACATAAATAAAGTCCTTACAATGCAGAGGTGGAGGATTCATCTTGCTGGAAGCTTTCAATGTAAAATCAAAAGGTAATCATCTTGGAGGTATAAGAGTGACCACAGAGAATATTTGTAATAGCATCGTTCAGTGTAAGAACAAGCAATATAGCTTGAAGTACACACACGTGTGTGTGTGTGTGTGTGTGTGTGTATGTACGCGTGAGAAAGCGCTTTTACAAACTTCGTTGTGAGCGTTGTGTAATCCCCTGATCCCAGTTCGACTTCACGGGAAAGAGAGAAACTTCATCAGGCCGTCATTCCCGTTGCTCTGCCCGTAAATTGGATTACGATACGTGACGTCATTAGCGGCTCGTGCCTTTATTTAGAGTCTCCGCGTGCACGCACACACCTCCGACTAATCAACTTTCTTTCCTTACTCTTCGTTTACGGGCATTGCTACATTAAAAACCATTGCCAACTTTTGATGGAGAATGCGTCGGATTTAAAAAGTTATAACAACGTGGATGTATAGCGTCTATGAAGACATTAAAAGCCGTGAAACTTTGCTTTAATTTGATTAAGGCGCGAAGAAGAAATTTTGTAATTAGTCTCCTTTACGCCATAGTATTAATTACATCAAAAACCTCTTCACTGGCCATCGGAATACTTTAGTCAGATAACTTGGCTTGCAGAAAAAAAAAATTAGACTGCCCGCGGGCATGCGAAAAAAGGAAAGCAGTCGTCAAACAGGCGCAAAGGATCGGATTACGAGAGAGGGCCAATTAATTAACCAGCTCGCGAGTTTTAAAACGTAAGCGGCTGGTCAAGGGTCACGACTACGGCACGCGCCTCTGAATAGAGTTGTAACGAGCCGACCTTTTTTACGAACGGCAAGGGTGAGGCGACGTAAAAAGAAAGAGAAGGGAGGCTGCCCATAAGCTCGTACGTGTGTGTGTAATTGCGTTATTTTGTAGCTATTTCGCACGTGGGAGACTCGCTGCGTAAACAGCGCGCATGATTGTTTTATTCATATTCGTCTCGGTGCACATTTGTAACAAAGTCCCAACACGAGAGGCGACCCTCATCTGCATGCCTTGACCAACAGAAACGTTTTACTTCCATTTGTTTTTCATATTACTTTTTATACTCGTAATATAATTCTTTTCGAGTATTTGTTGAATTTTAACAAAACTAATTAATTTTTCTTACAATCGTTGCCTATAATGCCGATAATCCATTTCGCTTTAGTTTAATAGTAGAGTAAACCATAACACTCGCTATATTCGGCGATTTTCTCGGCAACAGTATGCACATATTTTCATCAACAACAACACGTATTCCAGTGATTAGTTCGCACAGCGTATGGCCGAGTAAATAAATCAAGGCCGATGTCGTGAAATCGGAAGCGCTAAAGACACACATGTCGAACTCTTAGTGGTTGGCCGTTTACGGGCTATATCATACAAGCGGCATGACGCGTATAGGCGCGTAAAATTGAGTTACTGGGTAGTTTATTTTTTTATTAGCGCAGTGCCAGGGCACGGACTTCAGGGGGCGAGGAAGTGACTGCGTTTTTGTGGCCGCCGTGCGTACGGATTTGCCGATAGCAGTTTTACGGCGTGTCAACACGCGCCTACCGTCGAGAAAAAGTGTGGTGAGCGAGGGGTCAGACTGGGTTAGGGTGCTGAAGACTTGCATTTGCTGGCATAACTCTGTCGCTGATAATTGCCGGATTTCCGATCACTACTAATGATTCCATGCAATGGAACACACATCGACATTTTTAACGAAGCCACTTGCGGACTGTTAGTAAGGCGTAGAATAATCGTCCAATTGAAAAAATTAAATTTACCCGACGAAATCCCAGAATATCGTTGCTATAGCTGTACGAATTAAGTCGATAACGCAGCAACGATAGCAGTAGCATGAGCGTCGGTGGTGGCGCATTTAAAGGCCAAAGTCAAAGAGAGGCGCTTTTAAAGAGTAGAGCACTCGTTCACCACCACCGGAAGACCAGCAACAATTTTCGTTCTCTTACCCCCGAGCCTGGAATTCTTTCGTTTGTACAGTCGCTCGCTATGTATATATAGAGAGCCAAGGGATCTCCGAAAGCGGAGATTGAATTTTTGAAGCAGAAAAAGAGGAACGAGAAACGTTAAGGGGATAATGAGGAAAAGCAGAGAGAGAGAGAGAGAGAGAGAGTAGGAGTTTTGGTAATAAGATGGCTTCAGAAATTCGAGGATGCTAGTCACGTTTCTAATCGCTGACAGCTGTAGCTTATACGTATGACGTGCTATCAACCCCTCCGCAAATTTCTGTCTCCCTCTCTCTCTCTCTCTCTCTCTCTCTCTCTCTCTCTCTCTCGTTAGTGGCAGACGCACCGTGTCACACGAAGATTCCCGAGAATGCACTCAAATTCCACCTGTCGTCGTAGTCGCTGCCCAAGCCTTGACTTCGCACGTCCGTTGCCCCGTTTTGAGAGTATCCGACGGCTCCGCGACCTCGCTTTCCCACGTTTTCTACCCGATACGTACAAGCGCAACGTTCAAGCGTCGGCCAGGTGTTTCTATCGAGATATCGGTCGTTAGTACGATATCTTTAATTTCTTTTGATACAATTTTTCTGAGCTTGCAACAAGAAAGTGTAAAATATACTACTCTTATAAGTATTTAATAAATGCATCGTGTTAATTTTTTAATAATTCGATATGCATTTCAAAAAATCATTATTACTTTATATTGTTGACGTATGCGATTCGCTGAATCAAGTGGACTTAATTTTTCATTAATAATAATTGTAAAGAAATGCTGTGCGATAACGGTAACGTAAATAATGCGCAGAATATCATATTTTCTACGTTTGATCAGAAAAGCGCTTAGGTCATTCGCATGGGTGAAAAGTCACTGTCATCAGTGTGTCTCGCGTTGAAACGATTAAATACCCATGTCGACGAGGGATAAGTGCAGAGTAACTAGTTAGCCCTTAAGACGGGCCGTCGCGCAAGCAAAGAGAGAGCCTGATTTCAACCATTTGAGTCATCGTCCCCTCGCCGCTTTTGTAATTATTGATTTTCTGGCCCTAGCACATAACTCGCCTCTCTCCGCACCCTAACTCCGCGCATCGAGAGTAAGAGAAAGAGAAATCGCGAATAAGCAAGTGCGCGTGCAGGCAGTAGTATACGGAGGCTGCCTTTTGTCCCCCTTTTCGCAAAAGCCCAACGACCCTCGCGCGAACTGTGCGTGCGTAGGGATGCTTTGAGCGAATTTTTCGCTCTGGATTCTCAAGAGATTTTCGAGTGCAGACAAAAACGAGACACTTTCCTGACCTAGATCGCAGTAGCTCAAATTGTGACGGATGCTAAAGTTTAACAGCCGATTTGCATTCCGACCTCAAAGATTCTTTGCGTAGAGGGTGTATTATTGGAGAATGTTTTATCCTATCAGCACAAGTGATTTGTCTTCTTGTTGACCTAACGATCGTCCTACGATAACGTAACTAATAATTTGATAACGATGTCAAACTTACCCCTACCGATGCTAGAAGGTGACATCGATATGCCCGGTCTAGCAGTATCAAACGAATTCGTTTTCATTCCGCTATCTTGCTGTACGGCGATATTGTTTGTAGTAACGTCTCCGATAGTCGAAGGGCTGGCCGTCGTTGGAGTGGTAGTCATGGTCGTGACCACAATACTATTGTTAGGTACGGTACCAGTGCTACCGCTTCCATTGCCGACGCTTACTGACTTGTTGGCTGCGTTCGTTGCAGCATTCGTACTGCTAACGGCGGTTACGCTGACGACACCTTCGCGAGTGATGTCTTGTATGGCTGTTGCGGCACGCGAGCCAACGCCCGCCGGCTGCAGGATTGTGTACTGCTTGGAGTTGGCGTCTGGGCTACCGATCTGTGGATTGCTGCTGCTGTTGTTGTTATTGTGCTTGATAGGAGGCTCGTTAAGTCGAGCGTTTATTGTTTCCTCTTTGGGAGACTTCAACTGCAAAAGAGAGTTGTGCTTGTCATCGACGGGTGGCGAGCAGCCTGGCACAGGTTGCGGCACTGACGGGTAACCGACGAAGGTAGCGGCCGCTGGATATGGTCCCATTGGCGGTATCGTCGTCGGAGTCGTTCTGCTACCATTATTATTTTTCGAGTGCTCGTTGTTGTTTGGTGGTCTGAAGGCTGAACTGACATTGGTGTACGACGGTGATGTGGGGTTGACCTTGAGACCGTCAACGTAGGGTCGTTGGTAGGCGCTATAGACATTCTGCTGCTTGGGCGATGTCGAATTTGATTTACAACCGCGGTCTTTGTCGGATTGCTCGGCTACCGCTGGATCGGACATGTCGATCTCCAATTCGTTGGATGACTCGTCGACGAGTTCGTTGAAGTCCGGCGGGTCGTAGCGCGACCTTGCTTTGTAAGCTACCGATCGATTCAATTTCTTCTCTTCGTCACAGTCTTCTTTCTTCATCTTGCCGCCGTTGAACTGCTTGTAAGCGTTTTGTTGCTGCATCTTTCTGTCGTGCTGGCTCCTTAACTTGATGACGTCTTTGAGCGAGCTACCCATGTCGTTGTTCATTGTGGAGGGCTGTGACGAGGGCGACATTTTGGTTCCGTCTTTTTTCTCTTCAAATAAGTTCTCGAAATTCGACTCGTATCGGTCCTCGTCCGAGTTACCACGCTGGTAGAACGAGCCACGAGGTGTTGGTGCCCAACTACCCGATAGACTTTTCAAAGCAGCCTCGGTCTCGCGAATCAAAGTCTCGTCGTCCTCGGGATCTTCGCTATTATTCTTGCTAGCCTTTCGGGCTGGGCTACCGGAGAACACACGTTTCTTTGGCAATGGCAGACCCTTGTCATCGATGGCTAAAACTGATTTCTGATCGTCACGTGCGGCACTCTTTCTACGTCTCTTATTGTTATTGTTGTTATTGTTGTTGTTCATCGAAGTGAGTTCCGTGTCCATGTCGTTCGATAGTGTCTTCTTCGAGTTCAGCGTGGCGAGCTGTTGCTGCGGCTGTTTCGGCTTCGAGCTGACGGCGGCCGATTCTGCTTCCAGCTTGCGCTTTTTGAGGTGGGCCATCGCATTCTGACCGCCTGGCACACTGGTGAGCTCGACCCTGGAACAGAAAAATTCCAGGGGATCGTATAGACGGCTCTCACTCGATCGCGACGTATTGGCTGCTAGCATATTCTTAAAGTGTCTAATCATATGACATCGTCTTAAATGCTTAATGTATAACAATTGCAAGTTCAAGCTGCCATTCGACTGCGCGTGTTAAATATACCAAAATGTCAAAAATAAATTGTCGGCGCGCGACAAGTTAACCGTGACACACCTAAGTAGATATGAGAATCACCTGGGCCGATCCGAATGGGCCTCCGTGGAGTGTGTGCGTGTGGTCGAAAAGCGATCAATTGTCGTCGATTGACGTGTCACGCACCCACTACGAACAATAATAGTTTTGCGGCACAATCATAACTTGCCGGCTCGCACAACCGATCATAAGGCTGACGACGCGGGTGTCTGCGTGGTCCAGGAAGGAGAAAAAAAGTTTTCGCAGCACAAAACACTGAGTCACTCCCTCGAGCCACAGCCCGATCTCGTAGCCTTGTAGGTGTACTGGGACACCTTTTCGCTCGACAAGGTGGTGGAGGTAGTGGAGGCGTCGACGGTGGTGGTGGCAAAAAAGTAGTTCCACAGCAAAAGAGGTACGAAAAGTTTTGTAGACACGCGCTCGAGCAGCGAAGCGCCCTTCTCGATTTGGCGCTCGGCGAGCTACTGTGTACTATGTCGAAGGGTGCCCGGCGTTTCAGGGGTGGCGTTGGCGTGGCGGGGGTAGCGTACTGTCGCGCTCGCTCGCGCGCGCGCACTCACCGAGAGAGGGAGGCGCCTCTCGCGCCACTCGCCAGCTAGCAGCCAAGTGGGGGCGGGCCGAGGCCCGTCCACCCACGCAACGTCCTGCCAAGCGAGGAGCCAGCCAAACCCTCCTCGAGCGCTTTCTCTGTCTCTCTTTCTGCGATGCAGCGCGCGCACACAAAGTGCAAGGCTCTCATTCTCCCTCCTCCGTCCGACTCGCTGATCTGATGCTGCTGGCGCTGCTACTGCCGCTGCTGTCGTTGGCACTCGGTCTGGTGCAGCCACCTACAGGCAGCTTTTCCTCCGATGCTTTCCAAAAATGGTTACCCTCGGCACTGTTTTCCTTGGACTCACTTGGATTTTTGGCCTGATTTTAAGTTCTCCTTGTCGGCTTTCACACAATGGCTTTTCTATGGTACAAATGTGTACAGACCTTGAGTTATAGCATCGATCGTATGTGTGTGTGTGTGTGTGCAGATGTCTTCAACGAATGAATGTCTTCATATAAAACCTCACGTCGCATAGCGCAAGTATAGAATGTGTGTTCGGTAGATCGATGGTGGCAGTTGTAAAAGTTTTAAAAGATCAACGCGCTCGATTCTGCGGTGGTAAGTCCGAGCGAAAAGATTGCGGCTTCGAGAATGCCATATATCTAATAGTCCGAGAATGATAATTAATTTATCTTTGACGATCGCAGGTGCGTCGAGGGAGCTGGTTATAATTGATGAAACGTTTCTGCAAGATCGACAGCTCTGGTGTGTGTCAGATTAATGACGCTTCACACCCCCTTCAAGGCTTTCCATTTTATCCATGCTACTGCTGCTTGCCTCTATACACCGTCGCCGTCAAATCTGAATCTGAGAACTTTTTCTTTCTTACAGCCATGAAATGACTTTGTCATTAATTACCAGGGAAATCAATGTCATAACTATACTTTTTTTGCTTTGCTCGTAATAGCTTCATTAAGCTCTGTTTGAATAATCGTTACTTACGTCACATAGTATTAGAATTTGATCGTATTCAAATCGCACATCGTAGCTCATTAAAAGTAATAATAGTATAAACCTATACAGCTACGTTTCTTCGGAGGCTTCACCAGTCGTGCACTTCAGATGAGGATTAGTTCAATCTCGCGAATGATTCATATATAAACACACACCTTTGGGCTGACGACGAGGACCAGTTGACAAGTCGAATTAGATAAACCGAGCCTGGGAGATTTCTCAAAGCCGAGAAAGAGCGTCAGTAGCGGACGTGAGTATAGAGTAGGATCAGCTTGCAGGCGCGGGCGCGCAAACGCTTAGCTGTGCTGGGATCTTAAGGGAGGCTTCACTCCCTTAAACCCATGGCTCTCTTAGCTGCTTCTGCTGCTGCTGCGGACCGCGGTGGCGGCTCTTAAGTTTAGAGCCGGAGAAATCAGAAGTTAAATCGTGCCCACGGCTTAAGACATTATCACTTTTCTCTTGCGGCCCGATGTTCTTCTCTTTAATTTTTTGCACGCTGTACACCGAGACAGACAGACAGGCAGAGATTCCCTTGGATCGATGCGTCGCCGTCCACCCTCCAATTACGTACTATCCCTTACGGCCTGTGGGGAATAATTAGAAAGCAAGCCTGAGCGAGAGAGCGTAGATGGCTGTAGAATCTCTCTAGGCGCCTCCGCGAAGGCACACAGCCACACACACAGCCTTATATCCACTTAGAGAAAATCATGTGCGTGCTTCTGGTGTGATGCATTGTGCCCGTCCGTCGTTCGATGTAATTCGTCGCGCGCAATCGCCTGTCGTTTGCTGCCGTTCTCGTTACCGCTCGAACGTGTCAATGACACTTTAATCGGTCTGCAATAATTCACAAGCTACGTTTTCGCACCTAGAGAGCTTAACTTTGTGCATATGTTCTCTATTCCTCGGGTCAGTCCATAGTCGGCGGACGTTTTACTCACGTGTACATACAGCACGTAAGCCTTATGACTATGGAACACGTGGATTATGTGTTCTATCGATCCTTCCTATGCAATTACTCACGAGTCTACGAACTACTACGGGCAATAAATCTAACTATTCCAAGTCTTGCATTTTAATTGTCTACATTTCTCTCTACCCTGTCATTATTATTACAAGTATTTATTTTTACGAGGTGGCGAGTGTAAAGAATCGCCGCTGAACGTCGATCGCGAAAGAGGCCTAGTGCAGCGAAAAAAAGTGTGGCACTAACGGGACTCGTGGCGAAGAATACGTACATGTATATATAGATAGTCATACGACGTGTGTCGTCGCCGCTAGGCTAGAGCCTATTGACATGGTCGGGGCTCGGTATAATTAGCTGTAACTACACGTGGCGTTTCAGCGTACGGCAAAGTTTTGCGATGGCGGGGGAGGGGGAAGGGAGAAAAAATCATTATTGCATGCGAGCTGAACGCCACCACGACCACCACCAAGACTGCGCAACAGTCTGTCAATAATATTTAAAGAAAAAGAAAAGAAGAATTGCTAAGTGCTTCGTGTTGATGTGCAGCTCCACTTTTCAGCGATTAATCGAACAAGAGAGTAGCAGTCAGTTTTCCATTCTTTGCCACGACCAATAGCTTTTGTTTATTTCAGGCTTCCCCTGTCACATGATTATTCGCGCTACATTATGACCTAATAAACGTTCTAGAGACTTTGAATGAACACATTGTACGATATATCATTGTCGGACTAACTTTTCTACTCAATTATCAAGTTTGATTTCTTACTTTATTTTTAAACTCGGCAACATATCATTGATGTTTCGCGTAAAACCCACACCTACCTGAATATATCTGATAGAATGATTGATGCTACAGTTCCACATAACGAACATGAAAGTTTGCGATTCGTATAACTTTGTAATCAAACAAAACAGCACAGCTAGTAGCATCCATAGTGTCAGCGGCTTACGACTTTGCCGCGCATCACGTCGGCGATGCTACGCTAATTACCTTCGCGCGTACTGAAAAAAAGACAAAGTCAAAGCAGAGCAGCGGCTAAACGAAATGTCGTGTTGGCTCGAGTAAATCCAGCTAAATTCAATATTCCAACTCTCTCTGTCTCTCAGTGGCAGGCGTCCGAACCCTGATGAACTGCATTTAAATCCAGGCTCATCAATTAATTAGCGCTCACGCGCTCTACCAGGGAAACACAGTGGTAGAGAGAGAGAGAGAGAGAGGGAGAGAGTCAAGGGGGGAGGATTAGAGTATTAGGCGAGACGTCAGGTCGTAAGGAGCTGCTGCCGAGAGATAGTGGCCTCCGAAGTTCTTACGTCGCCCTCGACAATTCCAATTAGATAAACCGCGCAGGCAGGCAGCGAGCGAGTGGTGGTGGTAACGGCAGTAGTAGTAGTGGTTGGGCGGCCTGGATTTCGATGTGGCAGCGGCAGCGGCCCGAATATCGCTGTTAATGTCCGACTACGTGTCTGACGCGAGCCCGCGGTTTTCTACTTGCACGGCGGCTGACCGCTGACGCCGCTGTTCTACTTCCCCTTACACCTCTTGCCATTTCTATATATCGCTTCTATCGCTTGTTTTACTTCGTAACGAGGCTACTTTTAGCTACGAGCTCAATAATTTAATTTTTAATATCTTATAGTATTGATGCTCTTGGTGTTTGATAAATTAGTAGTTGAGAAGTTTTTTAACTAGGTGAACGCCTTGCAGTTTCTCAATAACAATTATTCCTAAAACTTTACAAAGCAAATTGTTGAAAAACAAGATTTTCTTTAAAATATTAATTTAAACGATAAACGTTGTATGCTTTCAGACTGTAAATATATAAAAAGTACGATAATTTTCTAAGCTTGATTGGCCACTATTCAAAAGTTTCACGTAAAAGTTTGAATCATATTTTCTATTTCACGACGATTGACACTGACTTTGGAGGGAAAAATCAGAAAGGAAAAAAGAAAATAGAACTAGAGTTCTTTTGAATGAAATATTAATAATGAATACATTACTACAAAGTATATGTATATATATATACGTACACACACACATACACATACATATAGTCCGGTTTGATAATAACAGCTCAGCTCAATAAAGTTGTACTAAATAATAAAATAATTTATCTATTAGCGAATGTGTTGTTTATTTCATACTTTGTTTAAACTTTGCTTAAACATCGGCAAAATTATAGTATCTCTACAACCGGACAGAGCACACAATACTATACTGTTGCAACAGTTTCTCTCATTCTATTATTCATGCAATCGTGATTGGCTATAAACCACTTGGCTTTTTGCGTATGGACACAACAAAGATATAGCAATATAAGTTGGCGTGAGAGAAAAAAATAGAGATGCAACAACGCGCGCGCGGCCAACTAAAGAAGGCGCAAAGCTCATACGTCTTTTTCTCGCCGACGACGAGAAGGGGCCCCCGCGGATAATTTAAGAGTCTCCCAAGCGTGGATAATGGCGAGTCGGCTGTGTGCTAATGCACCCCACTTGGCACCGCCTGGATTACGAACAACCTCCCTCTTCCCCTCCCACACTCGCAAGTACCTATGCGATTTTGCGCGAGTTACCCGTGGTAATTTTGCACTAACGTCCCTCTAAGCATTGCTTGTCCAGCTGTTGAACGTTTTATTTGTACACTTCTATTAGTTTCTTTATAAAGTTATTTGTGATTCAACGTGTAAATGCCATTGTTCTGATTATATGGCACTTTAATAAAGTAGGTTTAATGAAGCTTAAATACGAGTCTTTCTTTTATTTATACCGTTAGTATCAGTATTCTGAAACATCGTACTTTTTTGTAATTACATAGCATGTTAATTATACGCTGAATATAAAAAATTTTAATAAAAAATTAAAAATAAATGAAATTTAGGGCGAAATGAAAAAAAAGATTACATAGGATAACAGTAGGTTTGGAAGTATCCAATACACCTCTCAAAAGATCTGAGGATGCCAAACCGATTGGCTTTATTCACCAACTGATGTCTATTCCATATGTTCGCGGTGCAAGTCAATGATCTCTTATGTTTTTTCGAAAGCACCTATATATACAAGACTGGCGAACAAATAGGAGAATGGAAGCCAGCTTCCAATTGACCATCGGCTCAAGGGAATTCTCGTACTTTTCTTCTCTCTTTCTCTCTCGAACGTCCATTTCCTACGACATGCTCTTAAACCAATCCCAGCATTATTAAATATTCAACGCGCAGACGAAGGAGAGCCTTCTTATGTTGCCATCACATATTTAAGTGGCCATCAGCCGAAAACGCTCGATGCAATGTTGATTCGATCAGTGACATTAATTCGTTAATTAACTTTGTTATCAACCATTTCCGAAAGATTGATCGTTTAAATTTATACGCATGAGTTGCTAGTTATTTTCAATGGAATTTTTAGTCATCATCGATAAATGTTGCAAAGAAAAAAATTATTGATTACAGCTGTATAAATTTTCAAAAGGATTGATAAACCCGAGAAAAAAATGATAAAAATCGAGTATCGCTGATTGTTGATTTACTATAGATATTGGCAATACAACTGTTGATTATTTTGAAATTGTAATAAATAAATATTTTACCGAATTTACATTCGTAAAGAAATTATTATTGAATATTTCAGTAACAAGTACTTGAAATTAAAAAAAACTTATCAAAACCGACTTTGTTTTACAAACTTTCGCCGTCGACAGGTTATAAAATAATAAAAAATATCGATTTCCGATAAGCGCGGCAAAGTCTAACTTTCGTTCGTGAGCAACTTCGTTTCTCGCCGCATCAACAATTTACAACATCAAATTAAAATGCACGTACACATCACACGCTATGAAGTTCCCTTGTAAATTATTTCCCTGATATCGGCAGCACGAAAGCTATGCGAAGATTGAGAAAAGAGGAGAAGAAGAGGAAAAAAGTGAAAATCATTAGCGTCAAAGCGGAAAATGATCGAAGGCCGGCTTTTTCGCTAACTAGAAAAGTTTCGCGAGAGCGCGTTCGACGGCAATGCGTCAGGCGTGTAATTAAAGAGAGCAATACAAACGAGCAACAGTAGCAGCAGCAGCAGCAGCAGCAGCAGCAGCAGCAACAGCAGCAGCAGTATGACGCGCTAAAAGCACAACAACAAGGAACGTGCTTTTAAAGCAACGTCTTGCATCCCCACGCGCGACGGCACATATTTTCATATAACAAAACCATCTGCGTGCCGCGCATAACGAATTACTCGCTGATTTATAGAGAGCTCATGCGAAGAAAACGACCGGGGCAGAGCGAGAGAGTACGTATATATAAACGCGCGAAACATCCAGGCCCTCGAGAATTTACGCCCTGGGTTGAAACTCTTAGGCGTAGCCCGGGATCGCGGCTAAGCACGGATTTCAGTTTTCCTTTCCAAACGGCTATCAGAATTGTTGATTGATATGTTTACGTTTCTTTTTTTTCATATTTGAATCTATGAAATAAAAATGTTCATTTAGCAATTGACATTGAATTAAACATGCAACAGTTTTATAAATCAAATAACTGCAATGTTAGATGTCTTCCGCCGCATGACAATTAACTCAGCCTGAGGATCGTAGGAGTTTTGGCTTTTGATGAATACTAATCCCCCATGCGCCGTTCGTCTCCCTGAAAAAGGGTCAGGCAGCGCAAGAAATCAACGGATTCGCATAGATAGAGAGGCGGCGGGAAATTATGTGGGTGGTGTGGGCTATATAGCAAACAAAGCCGGACTACAAGGACAGCTATCAATTAGCCTGTACAGGACGCTAAGAGGATCGATAATATCATACTGACATGTAATACATGCATGTTGCTTAAACCTTCTTCAACTTGAGGCTGCCCATCGAAAATTCAAGCGAGACGGGCGTTTGCGGCAGCGGCATGAAATTTTTATTGTTTGTATGACTAGCGAGATAGGGTGCGAAGAAGAAAAAATGAGAAACGATTATCTTTGAGAGATATAAGTAATACGATAGTAGTAGTAGACTTTCAGTGGTTACATTCAGTAAACAATATGAAATACACGATTTCAATACGTTCGACTTGTTCTGCCAGTGGTTTTTTATTTATCTCCTTTAATGTGTTTTTAATCGACGCACTGATATACGGCCTACGAGTTTCTGTTTTTCCATAAAATAGCTGCAGTACTTGAGTTCGCGTGCGTCATTATCTTACACAGCAGGATTCTCTCTCATTCGGATCTGCTGTCTAATTTACGTAGCAGTAGTCAGTGAAGCAAATTAAGCAACCCATCGCACGCATGACCATTTCGCAGGTATACATCGCAACTACACTCTCCTGCACTAGCAGCAGTAGCAGCGGAAAGGCCAGTCGTTAGTGTGAGTGTGTATATATCTCGAGTTCTTGCTCTATGCGAGTCGGCAGTAAATCTCGAAATGAGCGCGGAATAAACTGCTCTCGCGGCGCGGCGTCGGCGGTGGCGTCGGCGGCGGCGGCCCGCGAACGCGAGCATAGCGCCAGTAATAATAATGCGGCTGTTACGCCGCTTGGCAATTGCTCGACGAGCTTAGAATTATTACGACGTCTATACGGATTGAGTGTGTATCTGCGTGCGCTTCGGCAATTAACGCGACGCATCGTGATTTCGATAGAACGCGCATCATTGACACTTCTGGCCTTCGCTGCAGCTATTTATTTATTATATTATGCCAACGGTAACAGGTAGGCTTGTGTGAGATTTATCTTTGTCAATGGACTTTTTCTTTTTGCATCAGTGTGACTTACCTTATAAACTTATAAAGTGCGTCATTAAAAGTTAAAAGTTTCCCATCGCCATTTATTATTCATTTAGTATAGTTTATAATAAACGTGCACAATATTTTACATAAGAAGTTCCATTTACCATAGTTATTAATTATTGTTAAGCATTTTTATGTTATCAATTTATCTAAAAAATAATCGAGTTCTTTTGGTTCAATTATTGAGGCCAACTGAATAACTCCAAATGTAAAATTACGTTAATCGCTTTTAAAATAAATATTTAATTGTTTTTATTATTGCAGCCACACAGATTTTCACGTTTGGAACATTGATGATATTTTCCATTGTATCATTCGCATTGGCCGTTCTAACAATGTAGATTTGTGCCAATTGCGGCATTCAACGTTGAACTACAGAACTGTGCGGTCGTTCATACATACGTGAGTTTTACTTGTGTGATAAAGCACATCGTCATTGCTATAAACGACTAATTGAGGAAAAGCAACAGGTATTAATATAATCACACTTTTCTTTTCAGATAGATCACTGTTTACCTTGAAAAGATTTTGGAAGAATTTATGATATGACCAAATTAGCGAGAAAAGTATAATTTTAGTGTAACATGCAATAGCTGCAATAATTTACTGATAATATGGCATAGCTTTTGTCTTATCAACGTATCGGACCATACCTTTGATTGTTTAAAAAAAAATTTGTCAAAAATGAATAGCTTACTGAAACCTTGTTGTAAGTATCAAGTGAAAAATTTTCCTTTCACAAATAGTAATTTGAAGCGTCGATCGTTGTAATTTTCCATACGCCATAATGTCGAAATAATGTTCTCAGGTGTGCATTTCCGTCAACGATGGGTGTTCGCCTTAATGTGCTTTTTGGGACTGTTTCATGCTTACGCAATGCGAGCATGTTTATCAATTACGCTCACAGAAATGGTGATCACAAGTGAGCCAGACGTGGCGTACGACGATAGTTGCCCATTTAATGTTATTGAAAATGTCACGGTCACTGACGCAAGTGCACGCTCCAGAGAAATCTATTCGTGGAACGAAGAAACACAAGTAAGTCGATATCGAAAAACAAAAAAATATTTGCCCAATGACTGTATTACCATATATCGAATGTGCATTACATATTTTTTCTCTCTCTCAACAGGGTCTCATTTTGTCATCGTTTTATTGGGGTTACGTGGTGACCCATTTGCCTGGAGGTCTTATATCTGAAAAGTACGGCGGCAAACACACTTACGGTCTTGGCATTTTCCTAACCGCCGTGTTCACATTAGTCACACCGTTATCAGTGCTATGGGCCGAATCAACAGGCTTAATTGTAGTTCGTGTGCTTATGGGTCTCGGCGAAGGTGTAACTTATCCGGCTATCAGTTTTTTGCTTGCTCAATGGATTCCACCAGACGAGATATCGAGAACTGGCACTTTCGTCTATGCAGGACAATTGTTGGGTACGATTTACGCCAATTCCATATCGGGTATGATTCTACAACACACTGGTAACTGGCAAAGTGTGTTTTACATTATCGGTGGTGTTAGTGCCGTGTGGTATATCTTTTGGTTGATACTCTGCTACAACAATCCAAGAGAACATCCGTTCATTTCCGAATCCGAGTTGAATTATCTCAACGAGCAATTGAGTCATACGAATGAAAAATCTCCGCCAATTCCATGGCGACACGTGCTCAAGTCCAAGCCAATGTGGGCAACGGTCATAGGAATGATTGGCTTCAACTGGTCGATTCTCACAATAGTTACCGATTTGCCGAAGTACATGAGCTCAGTTTTGAAGTTTTCCGTGGAACACAATGGATATTTGAATTCGCTGGTGTATCTCAGTATGTGGATTGGTAGTATGATAATTTCGTGGCTGGCTGACTTTATGATAAGTAATAAATGTCTGTCAACGACGAACGTTCGAAAGGCTGGGTCAGTGGTGGCATTGACATGCTCGGCTTGCTTCGTAATCGCGGGTTCTTACGCAGGCTGTGATCAAGTTCTAGTCATAGTTATGTTCACTGTCGCGATGGGCCTAATGGGTGCTGCTTATCCAAGCATAATGGTAAACACCCTAGATATTAGCCCGAATTACTCGGGTACACTGATGGCTCTTAGTAACGGTATATCAGCTGGTTTCACCGGAATTTTGTCACCTTACATAATCGGAGTGATGACACCTAATCAAACATTAGGCGAATGGAGATTTGTCTTTTGGATTTTGTTTGTCGTTTCAATAATAACTAATACTGTTTATCTACTCATCGGAAAAGGCAAAGTCGAGTATTGGAATGATCCTAATTTCAACACTACAGATATTAGCAAACCGACAAAAGCTGATGAATCGTCGAATATCTGTAATACGGTCGTATAACGGTACTCTTCCTTACAGGACATAATCTACTCATTAAATAAATCAATCGACTCTATTGTTATTAATATTAATTATTCTGATAAGTTTTGCAATGTTTATGATGAATAACTCTTTTCTTGGAATTGAACGATAAATTAGCATTTAAATTTATCTGCGTAATTTACGTATTAGCAATTAGTCAATTAATTAAAAATGTAAGTATGCAACATATTGTAAAATAAGTTTATAATTTACTAGTATGCAAGTGTAGCAGTGTGATGTAAATGAAATTGCAAATATGCAATCCGAACAATTTATACTTTTCGTAATATGAATTACATTATTACACGTGGAGACCTGCTTATATTATATTTATAAGAATTGATATTTGTAATACTAGGTCGATGGGTATCTTTTCAAAATGATTTTGTAATATCTTTAAGATTAAGATTTACCAATATTTTTCATATAAAATGAAAAATAATATCTTTATAGTTATTTTATTGATTGTTTATATAACAATTTTACTCAATTGTAAAAATTTCAATGTTCGCATTGATGACAATTGTGTTGAATGCAGTGTTACACCACAATAAATGCGAAATATTGAATCCTTTTATCTCTTTCAATTCGGCTCAAGTGCAACGTTTAAATGATCCACTCAATATATATATATATATATATATATATATATATATCTCAGTCCCTTCACACGACCCGCAGTGCTTTGCTTTCGGTGACATTCAAAATACGTTTCTCTCAAGTGCTTAAATTCATTCTTCATTCACAGTACTATATTCCACATCCATTCATAATCCAGGCAAGTTCTCTCTTGAAATAAGAAAAGAAGTGTCGAGAGTTCCGCTCACACGACAAAAGCTCAAATTGACTGTTAACACTTGAAATGCGCGCCGCGAGGAAAAAAAGAAAACGACGTTGTGGCAATTTGTCACAGGGGGACAGTTGTAACGGAAAGGCAGGCGGGTAACACAATTACAAATATATCATAAGCTTTTTCCGAAGGAGAAAGCGGCTTCTGCACCCGATACACGTGCAACGCCTGTCGATACGAGCTTTATCGCCGCAAATCACTACCTCGTCGCCCGTGCCGCGTACAGAGCTGAGGGTATAAGGACAGCCAACGTCTTATACTCCTGCGGGAGCATAGTCAAGACGTGACTGCGCGTGTGTTTGCTCGAGTTATCGCTTACGCTGAATAGATCAACAAGCTCCTGACAGCCGAAAAAAAGAGGGTGGGACGTTCCTTTGTACGTCGAATCGAGTGCCACTGTTATTCGCTTGTTTCTATATATGTATATATATATATTTTTTTTCAAGGGTAACTCAGAGCCTGTTGATATAAGCTTTCATCGCTATTAGAATTTATGCTTCCTGCTATCTTAGAAATTCCACTTGACTTATCTTGTAGATGACTTTGGATTATCTGATTCTGCATTGAAAGAAATAATTATCACAATATTTGCCTTTCCATTCGTAAAGTTGGTAATTAATTATCAGATAAAATCAACACCACGACAATCAATTCTCATTGATTCTCCTGAAGTAAATAATTCTCCGTAAAACATTACGTACATGCAGTAAAAATAAGTCAAGGCAAATTCACGATAATTTTGCTGCGGAATCTCACAGCACAGGAGGAGCGAAATAGAGAAAATGAGCAAGGGTGCAGAGAAGAAGCTGATGCCAAGTATTCTGATATCTCGGGAATGCTTCGCGCCTCATTAGGCTGCAATGTGTTGTTGCCTCGGTGAATGATATCGAGCAAGAGAGTGCGAGAGAGAGAGAGACGAGAGGCAGCCTCACAAGACAAATGGTCTAAAACCGGAGGTAATTGTGGGCTTTTATTAGCTTGCTCGCCTCGTCTTTCACTGCGTGAGTGAATCACACACAGCCTTACGTTCGTGCCAGAAGCACAGACACGCATCAACCCTTGATCTTGCACGAGCGTGCACGCGCGCGCTTGCGATGCTCGTCGGCGCGCAAACAGTAATTGCTCGCATGAGGCTAATGTCGGCGCTAGCTCTCTATGCCTTTATTCCTCTTGGTTTTCCTCGCGCGCTTTTACGCTTCCTGTCTCTTTTGATATGCCTTATGGATTATACTGATGAATAGAAGCTTTACTTTATTTTTATGCAAACTTTATATGAGTTGAACAGTTAAATAGGATAAAAGAATAGAACACCTGAAGGATCCTTCAAGTTCCATTCGCAACAAATCATCAATTTGAATTTTCTCGGAAAGAAAGAAAAGGAAAAATTCCTTTATTATCTCATTCCAACTCTCTGCATCCACACGAAGTGCGTTTTTTCCTTTCGTTGCCAAAGGAAGAGAGAGAGAGAGAGAGAGAGAGAGAGAGAGAGAGAGAGAGAGAGAGAGAGAGAGAGAGAGAGAGAGAGAGAGAGTGAGGAAGAAAGAGGGGCCAGTTGCGATTTTCAGCCCGGGATATCCCCTCGTACCCGGATCAAGCTTGAAGCCCGATAAAATTTCTCGCCGATAATTCCACCAGACTTGGAGCAGCGCCGCGGCGAGTCAAACTTTTCAGAGAAGTTCTCTCTGTCTTTCTCTCTTGCGCGCCCAACAGTCGTCCTTTTTACTTCCTTCCCTTTCCTTTTCATTTTCTTTTTTTTTTATTCCCTCTCTAGCACTGTATATAGATATATACTTGCAATTGCTATCTGTCTGGTGCAAGCGCTGGCGACTTAAATTGTCCAACTGGTTGACTGAAAATCCCGCGGCGCGCGCGAGCTCGATTCTTTAATCGGACGCTGACCGCCATCGACATAAATCGTTCGCTCGGTCGCGCCGCAACGCAGACGATCGCACTGATTGCTCGTGATGAGCGTACAATTCCATTCGTAGGCAACGAGTGATGTGATTGTGCGCTCTTCTAAAAATAGACTTATTTTATGAAACTCGGTACCTACGCTTTTATTAACCCTGCAGACTTTGCTAGTTACAAATTGATCACCGCAAATTGTTCGTTCCGTTTGGAAAATTCTACGTGATCATAATAGTCGTGACTCCAATTTAGAACGATAGGCGCACAGCAAGGGCTTGGGTATTTAAGTTGTAGATCAAGAACGAGCCCCGCTCCGCTCGGACAATAAGTCGTTAAGAAAATATTTGCCAGGTCGCCCTACGCAACCGTACTCGGCATACGTGTGAGCATTAATTCAGGCTCTCGCAGGTGAATTATTAAGTAAATTTTCACGGAGATTTAGTAAATTGTAGTCTCTAATGGCACAACTGCACTACTACGGGGTACGTACTCTCAGTGGACAGCGGCGAAATCGCAAATAGTCGTACTACTGCCTGCCCTTGGTCGCCGAGCCGCGGGTCGCAAGATTAATATGGTCAGCGCGTTTCTTGGCATATTTCAGATACTTGCAAAGGTTAATTACTTCGCTGGACATTGTTGGCTTTTGCCCTAGCGAATACCACGCCGGCGAGCCGCTAGTTGTCTTTTCCGCTGGGTTACGTTGCATAAAGGAAGTTATTAATGGTCAGAGGCACGCCGTCCCGTGCAAAAGGCTTGCGTATATTACGTCCCTCTCGTCATTAGCCGCGCAGCCGGCACGCATGTATTAGTGATGTCTTGCGAGCATCGTAAAAGCTTGTTTCGACACTCTAATGCGTACAGTCTAAATTACTTATGATTTCTCTTGAATTTAAAATTTGAATGTTATCTCGTATACCGATGCTATCATCTTTTATGTAAATTATTCAATTTTCCACTAACAACTTTTCAAATTAAAAATTTATATTGCACCTACTATACGTGTACAGTTCAAAGGCATAATGCCAGCCTGTTATACTTCCCGAACGAGACGCGTTTCGCGCGCTGTTATGATATCTCAGCTCTCCGTATTTCAGCCAAAGTGCCTCGTTGTCTCCTGTACGCAGGCCATATGCTTACGCTCCTTCGCTCACTGCGTCCGAGCTGAAACTCATGTATTTATGCATTTGTACAGCAGTTGCGTCGCGATGACATTAAGCATTTTCACTGTTTCTTCAATGAAAAAAATCATCCGAACTCACCTATAGAAAATAACCAATCATGATGTCAGTGGGAAGAGATATTGAAATCGATCGAATGAAATCTACACATCATATAATTGCTTATACATTCAAAAATATTGGACCACAAAAATTCCTCTCTTTCTCTCTGTCTCTCTTTCGCTAGACCGTGTTGCCTCCCTCGGAAATCGCCTTGGGCTTCTTTTATTATTAGAGAGAGCCATATTTACTCATTGGATTCAATTCGGATTCACTTATGCCGCGGCTATGATTTACGCGAGCAGTAGCAGCGGCCGCTATATACGAAGGCGTGTGTATATATACCTGCCCCGCGGAGATGGGAATTTATTGGCTGGCAAGCGTCGCCCTAAAAACCATATGAACTTTCGAAGGGCAACAACAGTCATCGTCAGAAGGGCACAAAAATTTAAATTTATCGCTCGGTTTAATGCAAATGATGTGCATAATTTATAATGTGCACAAGGTAGAAATTGGTAAATTATTAGATGGAGAGATAGTGAGCGAAAGAGAGACGAGCGCTGAACAAGCAAACCGTACTAACACGCTAAAGAGGAATGTAAATAGTGCTTTTACTCTATCTCGCGAGTCGCGTGTAATTATGGAAACGAATTTCTGATATCGCCAAGCACGTGGGACCGAGAGGGAGAGAGAGCATGACTTAGGTAATTGTAATTTTACCCCTTGCTCTCAACTAGTTCTAATTAATCATTCCTAATGATATTTTTGTTTGTTTATCTCTCTCCGAAAACTGAATACGTGTCTCGCCAGAAGTACGGTAAACTAAGAGAATTGACATTCTGAGACAAAGAATACTAAAACTATAATCAGATTTTCGTGTACATGTACTACTTTCTTTCCAAGTGTATCCATAAAACGATGTGTACACTTTTTGCTTAGAGCTGAAATGAATTATTATTATTATTCCTGAAATGATCTATCCGTAGCAATAAAAACCGACTAATTCGTTCACAGAGATCGTCCAGCAAATTATTGCGTAGTCTGAACGTCGAGAAAGAGAGACAGAGAAGACCTCCCACGCTGCTGCGCGCGATGCAGTATATAGAAGAACGGCCGAAGCGGTATGAGCGGTAGAGAGAGAAACATAAAAAACATCTATTCATCATGGGCCGCGGGGCGGCAGCTTTATATTTTGTCGCTAACTGTCATATTGCAACGGCGGAGCGCAAAAAAGAGAGAGAGAGAGAGAGAGAGAGCAGCGAGAAGAGCATTCTCGGAACGCACGCGCCCAACGAAATGAATGGGCGTCCGCTTTATTGGTAGCTACTGAATTTTTATCTCTCCCCTGTGCAAATGGACCGACATTGAGGCGGAACGTACGCTTCTTTTTAAAATGCGTGCGCGAGCCTTTTAAATCAAGACGACAATTGTTTGCCTCGCTCGATGGCTTTACTTGTCTCTTTAATTCGAGCATTATGAACAACGTTCTCGGCAGTGAGTCATCTTGATAGAGACCGATTATCGTTGAATTGATGTGAAATGGAACACTTGAAAATTTGATAATGATTGTATCAAGCTTACTTAAATTTTTTTGCCATTGTCGAACGATCATGACGTAGCTTCTCCTTGTGTGCTTTAAACTCGGTGGAAAGTTTGCGCATATGCATAGCCGATTCAATTATTAAAATCAAGTTTCCCATTCACATGATTAAAACGGATTGCGAAAAAAAATCCCATAAAAGATTCTCAATTGATAGCGTTTACTGCACTGATGATGTACGTATCGTTCCTGTTCCCTGCACCATATAGTGGCGTAACTTTGCCCATTCAACGAATAATTCCATGGCATTCGGGAACACGCGATTCGACATTTGTCACACGTACACATACATACCGAGCGTTAGCGACGGCGCGTAACATAATTCTCGCGTTGTAGCTGCGGTTAGCCGACGAAAAGAAGAAAAAATGTGAGGTGCCTAAAAGCCAGAAGAAAAAGTAGGACCATTATGCTGATGTCCCGACATATCGTAGCAGTCGCACGACTCCTTTAGCCCTGAATTGTGCGCGCGCGCGTGTGTATGCGTACGCGCGTAGACCTTCCGCCTACACACTCGCATACTAAGATGTATGGTTGAATGCGAGGGTGGATGTCTGTTCGCATTATCGCATATACGTATTTTCACCTGGAAAAACCAGCTATTGTCTAATACTAGGTATGCTTATTTTATTTTGCATCTTTTTTTAGATACTTTGGCAATTTCTCGAAAAATTTTTAAAATAACCAGCGGTCAATCTCATTATTGCCAAGATATTTTTACGTTTCTAATCATTCAATTCAGAGTACTTTAATAAAAAGTGTACGCTTGGAGCAATCGTAATTTTTCATCGTAACGAACAATAGGCCACTCGATCGACGATAACAGCAATAACGAAGCGTTATCGGGTCTAATGAGTTATTATTCGCGAGGGTCAAAAAATGATTCGACCTCGGCTCTTTATTATCCCATTCGATTATTTAACGTCGAAAAAGTTCACGAGTACCGCCACTCGACCGCCTAAATCTGCGGTTTCGCTTATAGTTTTAAAGAGCTCGCAGTTGATGTAAAATTGCGGTAAAAAGAAGAAGAAACGAGGTGAATTCATATATCTCACGAAACGAACAATTGTTTATAATGATCGGAGCTACTTTGCTATGGCTATTTATAAAGTATGTGGCAAAGATCATTATTCTTCCAGGGTACATAACAAACGAGCCCCGATGCGTAATAAAATTTAAGCTTTAATATTCTGCATTAATAGCGGTCGATAAGTGCGCGCGACTGGGGCGTCTCAGACCTGTGGCCCCTGAGCCAACTCAGCTACCACCCCATTCATTTCCTGGATTAAAGCTGTACCTTACACCGTACACTTTAAAATTTCTTACGCTCAATATAAAATTTTTATGTACTTTCGGCTTCTGAACTTTCGACTGAAGACTTTTTTTCTTGGCCGCGAGCTTGTTACTTTGGCCTAAAAATATACTCGATAATATTCGTCATACGTATCGATCAAATTTTATGTTCAATACATTCTGTCATACATCTGTCATGTTTCAAAAAATACGTTAAAAAACAAAATCGCTACTAAATGCAATTTCTTCGTCATGATTATTTCTTAATATCTTTTTCCATGAATAAATAATCGATTGTCTTTCTCTGCTGTGTTATGCACCAAGCAAACATCAATAAAGATTGAAGCTAATAATCATGAACCCAATAATGAAATGCAACGTGGCGTTACCGTAAATTTTAGGAAATCACCAAAACTTGCCAATCGTTCGCTTTCTCCTTCCGTCGTCACCCTCCTCCTTGCCACTGCTTTATTATTGCTCCAGCAGAAGGCAAAGGGGAGACCTATGTCAATGGGAACAACGCTGCTCTCTCTCTCTCTCTCTCTCTCTCTCTAGCCTATTTACTCAAGGGTTGGCATTTGCCGTCGGGGGTTTCGCTAGGGAAACCGGAGCGAGCGATCAAGGAACTGCGAAGAGAAAGGAGACGCCGAAGAACAAAGTGTCTCTCCTCTCTCTCTCTTGCCCGAACATGAATTAAAGTTTTAATTTCTCTAAATCACAGCGAGAGGTGCTTGCAAGCTCTTTCCAACAGACGGTCTGTTACTTATGGCCTTTGCCCTTTTACATCGTTTTCGCTAGGTAACCCTGAGGCTGCTGCTGCTCTGTAACAAGCATCGTCTAACTAAAACGATAGAATCGATATATGTGTGAGTGTGTGAGTGTGCTGTACACGTTTAGTAGGTAGTATACTGCGTGTGAACCCGAGTGCGTCTACGCGATACCGCGGTTACTATTTTTTTCTGTTTATTTTTGCGCACAATCGATAGTAAGAATCTTACGAATTGCCTAAGAGTTTACAATACGCTGTAACTTGAAAAATTCAAAACTTCTCGTTAGGTACGTGTGTGTAGGTACGAAGTATCGCTTATATTTAATAGACCTCCATCGACGCAGTTGTCGTCTGGTGCTCGCACGAACAGTTCACGGCTGGTATGATCGCTATTACTTTAATTGCTTTCGATTTGTGGCTTTGACAATTTACATGTTGATTATTCAGCAGTTAGTGTTATATTCTACTATGCTGACCTCAATTATGCATACTGTGTGTAGATTGCTTTGAAGTGATGATACATGCATACAGTTGTATCGATCCTGTTGTCATCCACCTCTTTTTTCTTTTCTTTTATCTTAAAATTATTAACGCTCGCATTATTATTCAACGTTTTGTCGCAGGTCATTTTCATGATTAACATTTGCAAATGCATGAGACTCCGTCGTCACAGATATTTGTGTCGAATTGTACATCTAACTAATAATCTCTTATCTGAATTAGCTTGCAAACATATATAATGAAGATAAATAAAAAGTTATACCAAAAATTCAGAGATGCGCATGCGCAGACAATCGAGCAATTAATTGATCGGCAAAAATTCAGCATAACGGGCTCGCGTCAGCTCGGCGGCACGAGTCGTAAATAATCCACGCGTTCTCTTTTAGCAGCGAATATAAGGAGGAGATGGTATCTTCGGCACAAACAGAGATGCATCATCCTCCCGCGCGCTCGCTCTCGTCTCAGTTACTTTCTCGCCTGCGGCGCCCCTCGAGATATCCAACGGGGGCGCGTTACTCCGGAAAAGTGCGTAACCTCTTTCTTGCCCTGCTCGCTCGTGGTTATATGGAAATTAAAGCGGCCGAGGGGCTTTATTGTGGTTTGAAAATGAACTTTTGTTATGAGTTTGCGAGCTAAAGGTCAACGTTGCACTGAATTTGCGGAATATGAACGGCAGAAGGATGAGCAATAATTATTAAAGGACGACGTATACTCGTTATCGAAATGTTATTCCAACGTCGAATTCCAAGCTGAGCGGATAGGAAAAGGGAAAAGTAAAGTTAGCACTTATCAGCGAACAGGAGCACAGATAAAGAGTGAGAAAATGAAAGAGGAGGCGAGGATCGGGGGCGTGGAGCACGTTGCGCTATTAACGTTAGGCGCATTAGGGACGCACGCGGGGCCCTGCAAGAAGTTTTGCGGGCGGGTCGCCACGCCGTGTGACATATTGTTTCCATTCCGGCGCACGCTACAACGCGACAAAAAAGAACTCGGCATAAATATCAGCCGAGATATCGCGCTCTCGCTTCTCTAATTTGTCTGAGTGGCTTTTTCACGGGCACCGCAAAGATTTGCCCCGCGCGCATGCCTGCAACCTCTTGATTTTCTTGCGAGGCTTCGCGACCGCCTGTACGTATATCTATATGTATGGGATTTGCTTGCGCAGATACCCCATTTTCTCGTCTATGCTAATTAGTATCGCGGCTATGAATCATTTATGCGGCCACATTTTGCCGATGTCTTACCATAGTTCTTATAGTTTGCTATTCTTTATTTTTCGTTTCATCCCGATGGTCAATCCAATCAGATGCATACGGCCGGATTTACATTCAACCAGTTGCAGCAAGCGAAAAAAACTGCTTGACTCTATATTATATTTGAGAATCATTCAAAAGCTCTGAATAATTTGTAAATGCTATAGACTACAATAACTTATTCAAAGTGTCATATACTCACAGTGTAATTGGTTCGTCGGGGCTCGGTGGCGCAGCGCACACCGAGGTGTTTATGAAATGTCGCGACGTACCGGGAGATCTACCTCGGTCATCGACCTGTAACGTACATAAAGATCATAATTTATTAAGATACACTGTACGAGTGTAAAATATTCAAGATGTGCTTTTTAAAATTTCATATTATATTGAAAAATATCAAACGAACAGAATTGTCAGTTCGCCTTGGCACAGCGATCAAATAAAATCGAGTGCATAAAAAGAGTGTCTCCATATAAAAGGCTACAACGTGTGTGATTTTATTCGTCTACCAATAAAATCGTTCCTTGCTTTCGCGGCTGAGAGTGAGAAGGAGAAAAAAGAAGTAAAGAAAAGAAAGCCGCGATTGGTGGAGCTGACTGCGAACGAAAGGATTAAATACACTTCTAGCGCGTTGATTTACGAGGAAAGCCGTCTGAATTACTGCCGAAAGTTTTTATGGTCGGCGAATGCACGGATGTCGAATAGAGAAAGAGAGCGAACGCGCACACTGGTTTATGTTCTTCGAGCTAGGACCTGCGTAATGGTACCCGCTAGGAAAATTATGGAAATCAAGAGCTCCAATGAAAGCTGGATATTTCTTAAAATTATAATATTTGTCATATAATATTCTCCCAGAGAAAAAAGTCTCTTGATGATCGTCAAAATCGATGAATATTTAGAAAAAAACCATTTTTTCACTACTGCTGTGTGACAGCACTGTGAGCATTGTCAATCAACAGCGACAATGATTTATTAACAAATATCACAGCATGATTAAGTTATAAAGTGCGGTCATTCAACGACTACGATTCTTTTCGTAGCATGCTCTGGGGCGGAGGAAGAGAAGGAGGAGGAGGAGGGAGAGGTTATTGTCTACGACTGTAATATCGGAGAAAGGGCCACTCTTAACGAGCCACTGAGTCGTATAAATTTTATTGCCATTTCATAATTCCTTCGCGCCCGCGCGTGAACAAGAGGAACAATAGGCGCGAGCGCTATTCGCTAACGATATTATCACCGAACACGCGTGCTGATATAAACGCGACAGGAAAAGAAAATTTCATACCCCTTTTACTTTCATCCATTCGTTTACTATTCATGAGCTTATTTAGCAATTATATGCACATTGTTTTATTATTGTGGCTTTCTACGTGTATTCATTTAACATTGATGTACACGTCAATTAACACTTTATTTGGAAAAGTTTACTTTGCTTATCTCACTGTTGAGAACGTGCATTGTACAAAAATATCTAAATAATTTACAAATGACTGTTTAATCACTTAAATTCAAAGTAAAAAGAACTGTTTGAGGCTATTTTAAAGTTTATAGCCAATTAGCGCTAGAGCTCTTAGCGATTTTCTTTATACTATTCAGTCTATTTTATTAAACTAGAGCCTCTTTCACTTGAATAGAGTATAATGATATCAATTTTACCTAAGGTTTTTTTATAATTAAAAAAGTATGATTTACTGCAATCGAAATCATACATTTCGTATACTCTTTTACAATCGAATTAATTAATTAAAGGTTAGTACCATTTTTATAATGAATATATTCGTAGTAGGAGGCAGAAAAAAGAGAAATCTAAAATATAGTAATGCCAGTTTTACTAATTACCGACAAAACGTCAAAGTTAAAAAAATGAGTCAACAACGTATGACTCGTATTTCATTTCATTTGCCTACGCTAATCAATAAACATAATATCACACATAAAAATGAAGGCAAAAACTGAAACTTGAATACAACCACAGTCTAGTATAAGCTGAAGAGCAGCGGACGCTCGCACAGAAAAACGATGAACCGAGAAAGAGCGAGTAAGCGAGGGGTAGGCGGAGGTTGGGAGCGTGATTTACATTCCTTCGCCTCGACAACATAAAAATTCCGCGGCGATAACTTCCTTTGTTCCTTCCTCTGGCGGACTCTGCGGGGTGCCCGTACGACTTCGCCGCCTCGGCGGCTTATATTACATTTTTTTTTGTAGTCCTGATTAAAGGTGATCTACCTCCAGCTTACGCGTTCAACTTATTCTCTCCGCTGTTATGTACTTGCTTATAGATGTGACGTTGAAAATTAGAAAGTTAATTAATGTTTATAGTTTGCGTCACATTTGTACTTATGATTGATCGTAGAGAAACATAAAGAGGGGTGATACAAATTGGCAATATAAAAGAGCGATAATTGCATTTGTTTATTTCATTTTTTTAGAGCATTCAACGAGGATAAGCGAATGAAGCGCTTGGCGTAGACGTGTATATAGATCGGCTCGGGATCGAAATGTAATTAAGAGGGCAAATAATCCGTAGTCAAGCAAACTCCCCTGGATCAAAGAACGCTTACGCGCGCTGTCACGAGGTTAAAAAGTACGTACTCGTATAAGGGAAAGCGCCGTCCCGCGATGTATCGCAGGGCTCGTATCCTCGATAAATATTTCCGTCGAATGACCGACAGCCACTGTGCGATTCAAAGGTGCACCAGTTTCACATTTGCGCGAGGGACGAAGACGAGCTGTCAAAGGGTACTCACTCACATGTAGTTAGATACATGGATGTGTGAATGTGTACGCGCGAGAAAGAAAGAAGTTAGCGAGAAAGCGCGATGAAAACAAATTTTCAATTGATTGAAATGTGAATGGAAAGATAATAGGGTGAATAAAAATGAATAAATATAAATAAAAGTGAATAAAGATAATAATAATTAATAGACCTAATGATGTATTCTCGTTGATGTATTTTTCAGTGTGACAATATTTATCTGGAGTTTACAACAATTAAAAAAAGATCAGAATACATATAAATTAATTATTTATTATAAGCAGCAATTTCTCTTTAGATACGCCTGATTACAGAAGAAAAATATGTTCCCAGGAAACTTAAAAGAGTGATTAAAGAGCAAGTTGGAAGACAGCAATGTGGAACGAGGGAGGGTAAGGACACGAGAAAGCTATGTACAAAGAGAAAACGACTATCCGTGTAGAGTGAGAGGGTCGAGGAGCAGAAGCGAAAAGCCGAAAAAGATAGTCGAGGCTGCAATAGCGACCAGTATATTTGCGTTACGTTACGTAGTTGCGCGTTTAATCAGCCGTGTAGCCCAAGCTTCCCTTTGGAAAAAGGGAGCAGCAGTAGTAGCGTTTGAAGGAGCAAGAAGACCGACTTTGTTTAAAAGGAGAGGGACAGAGAGTGAGAGGGAGAGAGTCAGATGGAAACTCCGGGACCCGGACGACTGTTTTACAAGAGAATGTTTTCCTTGGATTTCGGCCATGTATCTCGAAGAAAAGGACTGTCTCTTGGCCAAGCGGCAAACAATAAAAAGAAATTCGCTCAAAAAGCGAAATTCTAGTACGTGCATTAGCGCCCACTTTGCTAGCGGCCACGACTAGAGATTTTCTCCCTCTTTGTCGCATTTTTTTGGCTTCTTCTGCATATGCCGAGGCTTTGTTTCTTGTTCTTACTATGCTGAACTCTAACAATAAATTTTCCAATGAATCAATTTACAATGAGAAAAATTTGTTTCTAATTGTTTCAAAACCTATCGTAATATTCATTTTTATCGAACTAAATGGGATTGTGCAAGCAGAAAAGTAAGATAATTTATTCTACATAGTTATAACAAATCTTTAATCGTCGTTGATAATTCTTATATGCCGTGAGAAATAATTGCTTTCTTAATATAGCCATTGTAGCGTCTTTACATGGATCGCTTTAGTTTTAATGTCTCTGTAAATGTGGTAAAGTATAAGTATCAGAAATAACAATAACAGTATGTTAAATAAAAAATTGTCGGTTACATGAAATTCTTTCGCACAACTATCAGTCGATAAATATTCAATGAAGTATAATATTTTTTTTAGAAATAAAAAATATATAAGATACAATCTCATTACTAACAATAAGATATTTTCAATAAGTCATTCATCAAGCGGCCGAAGCCAAAACGTATTTTGCGTGTCAATGGTATGACGTTAATCAAGAATCATAAATGATGGAGGAGAGGGAGAGTTATGGTGTACGCCTTGGAGGCGTCGATGCCGTGACAGATTGGCCCCTAGTATTTTCCACCACATACATCATCGGCCCAGCCATAGCTGCCTTTAATTCTACTTCGATACCCACAGTTATCGACTCGTCTAATTGACATCGCATCCATCGCTATACGTATCTACATACTCCAATGAGATTATGACTTTCTTCAAAATAAGCTAATCGATTGTGGATTGATTTTGAGAGAATACATAAAGCGTTTTTTATTTCCAGCTTCATAAGTTTGATTTTTTCTTTGGAAAATCATATATGATATATCGATTTTCTAATTTTAACCACGATTATAATGAAGATTCTGATCATTTGAGAGTATTTTAAAATATTTATGTGAGAGTATAATAAAAAAAAAGATAAAAAATTTATGTTATGATTTAGCTCATCAGATGCTTGAAAATTCGAATCACTTAATGGCTTATTATAAACTTATCAGGCGGACGAACAGATGAGACCTTCAATTCGTCAGAGCCGAGAGAAAGTTTATGACGGCGGCCGATGTGAGTTATTTAGCGAGATACCACCCGGCAGATAAAGTTCGGTCTCTCGCAGTATACATCGATTTTTTTACTTGGTGAATTGTTGATGCCCAGTCACGCGGATCCGGGGAGGAAATGAATTTGTCAGCGTAGTAGCCTGTGCCGCGTGTATTGCAATTCTCGCTTGATGGAATCCCATTTCGCGTTGAGCGGCTGACCGTACACGATGACTAACTACTGATACGCTACAGATGCTATTGTACACGCGGGAGTGGTGCAGCTTTCAATTTGCTGGAGTTTCTCTATCTACACTGAAATTAACAGACTAGCCATTTAACCTTTATTTGTTAGGTTAAATATGCTAATTTGAAAAATATTGCATAATATCAGTTGACTTTATTTTTCTTTCATTTTTTATTAATTATCTGAACTATAGTGATTTAGAATTATGATAAAAAAGCATGAAAATAGGAGTCTTCTTGTTTCAATTTATAATGAATATAAATAAACAAATATACATTTTCAATGTAACACCATCAAGAAAATGTTATTAAAACTTTCCT